AATAGAAGCCTCTCCTCTTTCAATCCTGAGAGTCTAGGATTCTAGAAAAGCAAGTTTTTACGGGCGATTTGGCTCTCAGATCATAACAAGCCTAGGAGTTCATCAGCCAGCCCGCCCTTGCCCTGGATGGCACTGGGGAGCCATTGAAGGTTTTGAGTCAAGGAGTATCCTGTGGAAGATAATATTCATGACAGCTTAGCCTAGTAACCTAGGTTACCTAAAGTAACCTTTAGGTAAATCAGGAAGGAGGGTGGGGGAGGTCGGAAAGGGGACGAGGAGGGCAGGACAGGTGGTAATCTGCATTGAATCATGCCTTTGAGCCAGTCATCAAGTCTTGTTGATCTCTCTCTCTTGAAATATCTCATCTCCATCCCTTCTCTGCATCCAAGAAGTAAGTTTTCCAGCTGGACTGACTGGAAGACAGATGCCACTGACAGAGGTAAGGAAGTTGAAGTTGAAAACCAGTGTGATTGACGAAGGAGAATAAATCTGGCTTTTGACACTTGGGATTTGGGGTAATAGCGAACGTTCTAGTGAAAAAGTGAAGTTGAACTGACTTTTTCAACATGACTAGAAGCAACTTTTCTACTCAAACAACATGAAATTGGAGAGTCAAACCAAAATCAGATATAGGGTAAAAAAAGAAAAAACTGAACATACTCTGTCACTGTCTTTTTTTCTCTTTTGATGTGTAAATTACCATGTGGGGGAACTAAGTATATTTGCATAGCTTGTATTTTCTTCAGCATGGGGAATGATAAACGGAATTATGATGGAAATGTTATATAAGTCTGTTAAACCAAAATAAAAATAAGTAAGTAGGGAATGCAAAATGCTGGATGATGGGGGTAAATATTTTAACTTTTGGGGGGCATGATTTGAAAAATTCTTACATCTCTTATGCCACTAGATCCTATAAATGGATTTATGACTAATATAAGTGATACCAAGATGGGGATAAGCATTATTTCAACTTTGAAAAGAAGAAAATTTTTTAGAGGGGAAATGATCTTCCCATTCCATCCATAAGAACTAGAGGAAAACTTCATCAGACCACTGGGCTTATGATGTTCAGTCTAGGGGGCTAATGTTGCCTAATTTCTTCACTCAAAAGGACTCCTGAAGATGCTTGCCCTGTTCTCAATTATTGGAGGATCCCTTCCACACCACCCCCCTCACCTTTTGGGTTCTGTCCCCTTTTATCTCCTCCCTCTCATGACTTATTGGTAGCAGCTCTAAAGCAGTAGTTATGAAAGGGTTAGGAAATTTTTATTTGAAGCAGAGATGAGTATGTGGCTTGGGAGGGAAGGGAAAAGGACTAAATAAAAGGAAGTGAGTCTGAGCTGTTAGCAAAGAGAAGACCATTAATAGCAACATCTTGATTTCATTAGGAGGCGAGATGAAGCCATCCGAAACAGGCAGGGAACTAGGTGATAATAAGAGAAAATGTGTTTCTCAGACAAAGGAGCAGACCGCAGGGGACAGCGGCTCAGGGAAGGAGGCGACCATTAGGGAGAGTGTGCGGAGAGGACGTGCTAATCCCTTGAATTGTACCAGCGGAAGCTCGGGGCCGTTTGAACTTCTTGGCAGCTTCATCCTGGTCTCAAAGTGCATCGTGAGGAATGAGAACAAAAGAAAAGTTCACTCCGAGTTCCTCTTGTCAAAGCAGGGGAAATTGCTTTGAGGCCAGCCCTAGGAGATGCTAATGGGTAGAAAGCGAACCAAGTAAAAGAAGAAAAAAGAAATGTGCCAGGTCACTAGGAGCCTGCAAGCACCGAGCGAGATAAAGCCACTACCGACAAGACATTCAGCCCAGGTCCCACCATGCACTGCTGTGCGAGTCACTTCTAACCAGCGCTCAGCTGGCTACAATCCGCGGAGAAGGCCTCAGCTGCTCCGAGAATATCCGTTCACTTGACGCCCCTTAATTGAGCTCTCACTGTGTCAGCCAGGCCTATTGCTGTTAATGCTGGAAGGTGCGATGGGAGCCCTTATGTCCTGGTACCAACCGGTTTTGTGAGTCAGAAAGGATCACTGGAAAGTGAGTACGGGGAAAGCTCTGCTGGCCCTGGAAGGGCACAGCTCAGCAGAAGACGGGGGAAGCGTAGGAGAGCCAGAGTGGTAACTGGGAAGAAACATGCATCTGTTTAAAGTCCTGGAGAGCAAAGACCCACTGCCTGCTGGGCTTCCTTCTCCAGGCCTAGCAGCTCTCATCCATAAAATTGGCTGAACAGGACGATGCATTCCTTCCCTTTGAGCAGATTTAAAATGGAGCTGGGAGTTCTCTGGGGATCCGTGCCATGGGGTTGGGACAACGTGGGGATCTCTTAATGCGGGAATCTGTAATCAGTGCAGGAGCTAGAAACCAGAGGTGCTTTTTCTGTATGTTTTGATGAGTCACTGAGAAAATTTTAAATGCTAAAGATGTCACAAAGCTTTCCCTCCAAATTCTAAACCTGAGGCTTCCAGCTCGGAGCACCTAGGTTTTATTTGGCTAGCAGAGGGTTTTTTTTTTTTTTTTTTTTTTTTTTTTTTCTTTTTAATGGAACCAGCGTTTACAAATTGTGAGATTTCTGAAAATCCATATTTGGGGCTTTGCCGAGAGACCGGAAGCTCTGACGGCTCTGGCCCCACAGCAGCGAGTGGTGAGAGGTGGGGAGCAGCTGTCCCATTTAGATGAGGCACTTGCTCTCTGGTTGGAGCATCTCTAGCACTCATCATGGTGACCATATAATTTGTCATCCAAACTATGGCACTTTTGAAAGTGCTCTTTTTAATTATGCCTGGATGCACAGACACAAACCAGGGCCATTGTGGGCAAGGAGGATACATGGTTACCCTAATTCACGTTGCTTGCCCTGGGCTTTTCTGTTTTGCATACTGTTATCTGGGTTGTGTGGTCATAAGTCAGGGACTCCCCTGAGAAGGATGGGAGAGAAAAGGTGTAAAGTGAGGCTGAGGCCTGAACGCTGAAGAACAGGGAAAGAAACAAAAAGGAATATTAAAATGAATGCCAATTACACAAAACCTTCAGGTAAAGGCAGAGCCTGGCTAGTGGCTGGCTCAGCATGTAAGTTTGACCTTCCCGGCTCCCTGCCCTCCACAGCACTGTCAGTTTTAATAAGCTGTAATCCCACAGCTCCGAGCGAGACTAATCAAACTGCAGAGAGCAGCCTGTTCCTAATCAGGAAGGCACAGGATCATCATTTAACTCTGTGGTTCCTCAGTGAGCTCCAAGCTGCCTCAACAGGAAAAAAAAAAATTCCTGGATAAGATAGTTGCTTACACACTCGATTCTTGACCTTTTGATGGTCTTTGTTTGAAATTTGTATTAAAATGCTTTAATTACCCAAGTATTTGGCTAAAAAATATTTTCGAAGATTCTTTTCACTTTGTTCCCAGAGAAGACTAGAGTGGTGCTCCCCTAAGGCATTTAGGACACCTCAGACTCCCAGATTCCAAGTCCGCTTGAACTGACTGCATACCCCAGCCCTTTGGACACCACTCAGGGTGTGATTATAGTTCCAAGACTTGGGGCGGGAGGAAGTGGGGGATGTGGAATGGCACCTGCGGGGGCCAGCACGGGACCGTGGGCGACACATGCCAGTGCCGGCCCTTCCCCATGGCGGGAGTAGGAGCCAGGCCACGCTGCACTGAGGCTCTAGACGCCTCCAGCACCTCAGGGCCTTATGGCCTTTCTAGTTCTCTCCCTTCTTTTCACCCCTTCAACCCAGGGGCAAGTCACAAGAGGCTACTCAGTGCAATGCTCAACCACAGAATCTTAGATGCAGCTGAAGTTTAACTTAGGAGCTAACTAGTGTTAGGTCCTTAGGCAAACTACTGAACCTTCCAGAAATTCCTGGTAGGCCCTCAGGCAGGCTACTCAGCCTTCCTGAAACCCAGTTCTTAACACAGGAATAATATCAACACCTTAGAACCGCGCTCTGAGGGTCAACGAGATATATAAGGAGATCATTTATAAGGTGCCCAGTACGTTAAAAATCCTCTCAATAGGTTATGGTTATTATTATTTTTATTATGTGCTAGCATGGCCTTAAGGTCCCTAATTGTATAATTTAAAGAGACAGATACATTGTTAAATCTCCTTGGATTTTGCATTTAGTATGAGTGCACTTAAAACAGTGACCACAGATGAAATAAATGTAGAAAAAAATTCTTTTCCAATGGAGAACATTTCTAGTATCATGGAAATTTAATAGTTTGCTTAATAGACTCACCACTATTTACAGTACATTTTTTAAATTAAAAATATTTATTGGCTATTGACTTTAACAGACTTACATTAAAGGAAAAAAACATTTTTTCCAAATGTGCTAATAAGAAAAAGACCCAGAAAAATGAACGCTTGAGCAGACTATCCAGTGTTTTGAACATAAATAACTCATAAATTTTATATGGATTCTGGGGTATTAATATTCCTCCAATAATGGATTTGGCATTGAACAGGAATATAAACATATGAACAAGTCTAGTCCAATATATTTCAAAGCAAGCAGATCCTTGAGAGCAGACAGTCTTTCTTAACTACCCTTGCCATTCATGGAGGAGAGATTATAGGAATGTCACGGGCATTCCTAACCATTAATAAAAAATAAAAAGATACCTAACATAAAAATATAGTAACCACATAATAATTAAAAACAATGTTCAATAATGCCCACTGAAATGAAAAAATAGCAAATTATAGCCTAAGAAAGTAAAACAAATATATTCCACGCTCCTACAAAAACAAAGGTGTTTTTTTGGTTCTGTTGGCTGCTTTTACAAAAACTATGTGTGGATATACTCTTACAGAAAACATGACAAACAGAGAAAAGCCCAAAGAAAATAAAAATCACCTGTCACATCAACACGAACATCACTCCTCTGGTGAAAGCAGAAAAAACTCATAGAATTAGAGATGATCCAGGAAGGTCTTCCCAGTCTCAGGATCTGCTGATGCCAACTCACCAACCACTTCAGAAGTCACAGCTTTTCTTGGCTCTCAAACGTCTCTACTATTGCCTGATTCCCAGCACCACTCCATTTTTACACCAGGCCAACAGGGATCAGGACACAAGAAGGCTGCAGAGATAATCTAAAACTTTTTGTTCCCCCCACATTACAGCTAGATAGAATCTTGGAAGTTCATGTATTCTTACCCCCCTGCCTGTCCCTGTTTGTTCAGGAGGAAATAGGCATGGAGGGGGTAAGTGATTTGCCTGGTGTCACAGCTGAGCAGAACTGAAACCCAGTCTTCCAATTGCTGGGCCAGGGCTCCCTCCAAGTGAACACATGGTGAGTGAATCTCCCCCAGTGATGGGGCCACAGTTATTACGTGGCGAGACTATTAATGAGCCTGAAGGGCAGACCACAGCGGATCTGTCTGATCAGACGAAAGCATGTAGGCAAACTTTTGGCTCGTAACGGGCAACTGCATGGGCTCTCGGGAGACAAGTCACACACAGATCATGTGGTCAAATGAAAGCACGTGCCCTGGGCCAAATGATCCTAGGAGTGATGTGTGAGCCCCACATCCCATGAAGACTCGAGCCTAGTTAAATCACAAGAGCCTTTTCTGATTGATTGCAGCAGGGAGGCAGCTGGGAAGGCAGAAGTGTCCAAGATGCTCCTGAGAATATAAGGATTAAAACTAGGAAACTCTTAAATCAGCCAGATTCCTTTTACAGTCAACAGTCATGCTGCTCGTGACCAATCATCTTTTCAAGCTCTGATCCAACATCACGAACCCACATAATCTCATCAACCCCACTTCAAGGCTGTCCCTTCACAACTAAAGCTTTTGTCTTTGACTAAACGAATCTCCATTTGCTAAAAAAGAGTCAGCACTGAAATACTAAAGGTCATGGTTCAGTTCTTTCTGATCAGTCTGGGTCACTTAAGTCCTGAGAAGAAATCTCTTGAGCCTCAAGTGGGCAGAGTTTGGTTCAAACGTTCCTTATTATGGGCAGATCTCATTCTCCGATATAAACGGTTAAAGCCAAGTTCATTTCTTGTTCTCTTCTTCCCACATTCCAACAGCAGGACAGGCTCAGTGTGCAGAGTCAGACTCGAGTGTGCCAGGTCTCAAGATGCTTGCCTGCGGATGAGCTCTTTCAACTGTGCCAGTCTGTCGCTTTTTAGTGCTTCCCGGATGGAGTGGAAAAATCCAAAATAATGTTCAAAGTTGTGCATCATGAGCAGGACCCCAGCCAACAGCTCGTTGGTCACCAGCAGATGGTGGATGTACGCACGAGTATGATTCTTACAGCAGTAACAGGAACACCCTCTCACAAGTGGATCAAAGTCCTCCTGGTACCTGCCGAAGGAAGTCACAGGGATAGTCCAAACAATGAGGACTACAAGACATTCACAGCTAGGCTATCTATTCGGCCAGTACATAAGCAATAACTAATAACCTCATTGGCAAATATAGTGCTGGGCACCTGCTTAGGATGACAATGTGGTGACAAGTTAACCTAGAGTATGAGGAGTCAGGAAACTCGGGAGTCTTCTCCTGACAGACCTAACCTCCTGGACTGAGGCTTACAGAGAGCATTAAGAGAAAGCCCCGGGATCACTCCTGCACACTGAGCTTTATTAGTCACACTGTAAGGACACACAGTGACAGTAAATGCTGTTCTGAAGCATGACATACTTCTCACCCTCGCCACCAGAACTGGTACAGAAGACACAGTACGACCTTTCACTCCCAGAGTTTGTGTGTGTGGCTGGATTGCAAAGCACTTTGACATACAATGTCTTACTGATTCTCTGCAACCACTTTGGAAGACAGGCATTTCTACAGTCATTTCCCAGTGAAGACCACTAGGGCGGTCGAGAGGAAGGCCTCCAGAGCTATAGAGCCTAGGCTTAATGTCCGGCTCACAATTCACTTGGGCAAGTCACTTAACATCCCTCTGTATCTGTTTTCTCATCTGCTATGGTAATAAGTGTAATAACAGCATCTACCTTAGGGAGTTATTATAAGAATTAAATGAATTAATATAGCAAAGGATTCGCTCTTTCTCTGTCAAATAAATAAGTAAATAAAATCTTTTCAAAAAGGGGGAGGCTGCTTGGGTGGCTCAATCTCTTGGGTGTCTGCCTTCAGCAGGGTCATGATCCCGGGGTTCCGAGATTGAGCCCCATGTCCATCATGCTCCCTGCACAGCGGGGAGCCTGCTTCTCCTCCTCCCTCTGCCTGCTGCTCCCCCTGCTCTGTGCTCTCTTTCTGTCAAATAAATAAAATCTTAAAAAAACAAAACAAAACAACCGAAAGGATCTGGACATTGCTGGGCACATACTAAGCTATACTTAACACATACTACATATGTGTTACTTTTTATCAGCTATTAAAAAGAAGTTAAGGGGTGCCTGGCTGGCTCAGTCAGTAGAACATACAACTCTTGATCTCAGGGATTTTGAGTTCAAGCCCCACAGTGGGCATGGAGCTTACCTTATTAAAAAAAAAGGAAGTTAAATGATCTGACCAAGGTTACAGAGCCAATGAGTAGTGCTAGGCTCTGAACTTGAAGTCTAGTGCTCACAATAAGAAAACTACACTTTCCAGCTAAATCTACAATGTGAGGGAAGTTTAGTAGTATTCCATTTATATTACCCTACCATTTGAAAAGCAGAAATGAATCTCCTCGGCTATTTTTCAAGAAGTTAAATGAGTAAACATCACCCTTTCAGACCTACAACCAAGAAGTCCCTACAGAATACAGATTAGACCTAGGCTTTTCATATTCTTTCATAAGTTTTCAAGTCTGTACTATTCTTAGACGTAAATTAAGTCCGAATCCCTAGAATGCTCCTTTACATAAGACCAAAAACACCCCAGCACTAAAGTGAGAATACCAAACTCACAGAAAAACCTCTCAGTGGTTCACCAATAATTACTACTTTGGGCCAAATACGAAGTTATAAGGTCTCTTAGTTCATTCTTCACAGAGGGAAATATTTTATTAAGATTTATAATCTGTATATAACCAAGATGACTTAAGTTCCTTAGAATTGAAATGCTTTGTTGTTTTTTATCTTGAAATCTTTATTTTGCTCTGACATTATTTAAAGTAATCGGAAAGAGTAAAAGACACCAGACAATGGATTTGGTCTAATCTTTCTGACAGCTCTTCTAAAACAACAGTTATCTAAGCCTCGGTTTTCTGACATGACAAAGTACACAAATTCATCTGCAGAAAAAACAAGTTTTCCTGGAACTGAATTTAAGAAGGCCCAAATAATATCCAACTATAAATATTTTATGAAGTCATAAACTGAAAAGGGAACAGTTACATAAACTTTTAAAACAGACTGAAATTAAAAAGAAATCAAAATCTAAAAAAATTCCTTACTTTTTTTCCTTCAGATTAATTTCAAATGATGTCATTTCTTGGTTGCAACTGGTTGTTTTAATCTTCTTTGTTTGATCCACATATTTTGTTTCTTCCTGTATCCCATTTTGTTGTAATACTGAAGGACAAACCAACAAAAAGTCTTGAATAAAAATCAGATACAGACTGTCCATTGGGAGATTATTTTAGTTATATTTTATGGCCTTTTACCTTATAATTCCACTCATAAGAATTTATCCTAAGGAAATGACACAAGAAAAGTAGTAATATGGACCAAGATGATCACCGACATATTCTCTATAATATCAAAACTTGGAGAGTCAACAATGTCTAAGCAAACTATGGTTACAAGTAGATAATATATAATCTTACTGTCAAGGAGTGATTTTAAGAAAACAGGGAGAGAGAGAGAGAGAGTGTGTGTGTGTGTGTGTGTGTTTGAGAGAGAGAGAGAAATTTGTGTGTATATACTGGAGTTACGTCTTGTCATCATATACACACAAATTAATTGTGCTTTATAACTGCTTATGTTCCAAATAGATTAAAAGTAGAATATGGTTTTAACTTATGTATTCTATATGGGGACCCTAGCCTTACACGGAACTCAGATTATCCAGAACTAAATGAAGACTTGAGTTGTTCCCTTGAACTCTTTAAGAAAGAACATTCCTGCATATATAAGGAAAACACCAGTCACTATGCAAAGAACAAGCTATCTTGAACAGGGGCAAGTAGAGAAGTTTTACTGGAAATGAGTAGTAATAAACTCAGGGCAGCCCAAGGGGAATGAGCAGACAGTCCTAAGGAGGTAATTTTGTCCAGATCAAAGGAAAAAGAGAAGTGACCTGAGCATTGAGCAGAGGGCTGTTATAATTTTGCTGCCAGGAATTTGCATGCTGATATGGGAAACCACAGTAATGCCCTGGGTTTCTGGAAAATCCTTATCCTAGGGGGAACTATATTAGTTCTTGTATTAGGCAACTTATTCCTCTATAATTTTCACTTTATAATTGACAAAATACTTTAATTTACTACATATACACATATACACCGATGATTAATAATACTACTTTAATGGAAAATGTTCAAACTATTTCAACTTTTCTAATCATAAAGAAAGAGCTTTCTCCAGCCAAAAAGGAATCTGTTTGTTCTGGAGAACTGAATATCAGGTTCTTAAGTTTTGAATATTCATGGCACAGAATGATTAACAGCTACCCATGTCCTTGTGGAAATACTTAGGCTTGTAAATGAATATTTTACAGTATTTGTGGTATGCTTTTCTACCCATATACATTATGTTCTAGTCAGTTTAAAGGACAGCAAAACTGACCTCCTGTATATAAGAATCTGACCAATCTGATTTGTTTTGTTTCCAGAAGTAATTCAATTCAGGTTAATGATTAGGTTGCTTTACAACTGTTAACATCTTCTGGATGAAATTTTAATAACTTGTGGGGAATAAAATGAATCTTTAAGGAAGTCTCTGGCCCGAGTTAAATGTAAGGCCAGAGGTGACAGAGGTAGAATTCAAAGGACAACAGGAAGCAGGGAAGGAAATCACACCTGTGAAGGCCAGAAGGCAGGCGAGGCGCGCAACATTCTCCAAAAAACTTGGTAGTTTTTCTAAGGGATCCTGGCCCATAGCCCATATCCCAATTCTTTTTCCACTGTCAGTCAAATGTTCGGACTCTGAAACTGATATTCATGACTTCTGAGTAACTAATCAATACAAGAAAATGGTGGTGCTTCAAAGCAATATCAGCTTTCACATCTCTGTGTGTAAAAAAAAAAAAAAAGCCTAAGTAACACTAAGATCAGAGGGGGGTGAGAAACTCCCTGTATTTTGATAGCATGGAGTTTGCAAAAGGCAGACAAGAAGTCTTCTGTGAAAAACTGAATTAACTTTTACCAAGTAGTTCAAAGGTTTTCTGTTCTTAGATTTTCATCACTATTCATTCTGAATGTTCTTTTTTCAGATTGTTAATAGGGTTTTGTTTTTCTTGGTTCTCACTCTAAGATCACTCCCTAATATTGAGCTACAGGTATAGCACTAAGGACCCGGTTTTTTGTGCCCACATGCCAGAGCATACAGATAAGAAACAAACATGGTAGTTTTATAAAAGGCTGGTGTTACAGTATGCACATATTTCTGGCTTGTGACTCAAGACCAATAATGAAGAGGAAACAGAAGAAACTTGAGGATAACACAGAGACTTAACTTCAGAAGACCTACATGTCTCTTCAGGGTTTGGCTGGTAATCAAAGCTGAAAGTCAGGGCACATCCCCGCTCTGTCACTTGATAAGGGAAAAAACTCTCAAATAAATCCACTCCCCTTTCGATACACTCGAGGACCTCATCTGGCCGGCTGACTCCACAGATAAGCCTGTGAAAACAATAGTAAGAACACTGACGTGAGGACAATGCTAGAAATGGAAGAAGAGACTCTTCCCGGAGGGCATTAAAAGTAGTCATAAGGAGGGAACCTGGATGGCTCAGTCAGTTAAGTGTCTGATTTTGGCTCAGGTCATGATCTTAGGGTCCTGGGATTGAGCCCCACATCGGGCTCCCTGCTTAGCAGGGAGTCCGCTTCTCTCTCTCCCCCTCTTTCCCTATTCCTCTACCTCTCCCCCTGCTCATGTGCACTCTCTCAATAAATAAAATCTTTTAAAAAAAAAAAAGTAGTAGTAATAATGAAACCCACCAATGATGGTTGCATGGCAGGCAACAGATAATAAGATGCGATAGAAAGAAGGGCTTTGGCAGCAGAGAGACCTGGGCTCCAATCCCAGTTCTGCCTTTATTCACTTATTGTGCTACTTTGGGAAGGTTTCTTAACCATTCTGGGTTTTAGTTTTATAATCTTAAAAACAGGAGCGGTAATACATACCTCACAGATTTGTTGTAAAGATTAAGGAGGTATTTGAAAAAGCACACTGTCAAGTCTGCAGACCCAAAGAGAAGTTCAATAAAGGTTAGTTTCCTTTCCTCTCCCACTCCTTCTAAAAAACCTTCCTAGTCTTCAACTGAAGTTTACACCCTATCTAACTACTACACAGATTTTTTTGAGAGTGCAAAGTTATATGTCAACTATACATCAATTTTTATTTTATTTATTTTTTTAAGCTTTTATTTATTTGACAGAGAGAGATGGGGAGAGAGGAAACACAAGCAAGGGGAGTGTGAGAGGGAGAAGCAGGCTTTCCACTGAGCAACACGAGGATAGATTCTAGGATCCCGGGATCAGGACCTGAGCCGAATGCAGATGCTTAGTGACTGAGTCTCCCAGGTGCCCCTATCAATTTTAAAAAAAAAATTTTTAAAGAGTGCAATTGTGTGTTTTATTTCCTCCTCAAATCTTTCCATGCTTAAAGTATATTTGCCCTGGATTTTTTATAACTGGTTCAAGAAAGACATTTTCTATCTACTGTATTCTTCATAGGTTCATTTACAAAGCAACTCTTGCTCTCAGACTTTCAACTCTGACCATAAGATTTAAGACTCTATTTGACTTTCTTTATTCTTCTTTTATTTTCTCCATTAATAAAAAGTCTGCATGATGGAATGAGATGGTATTTTCAGAGTTAATAGGTAAGGCATTGTGGGAGCGATCATACCACTCAGCTGGGTTTTGCCACTAAAACAAGAAGGGGAGGTGGACTAGATCAGGGTTGGCTGGCTGGCTGGCTGCTATCTTTTATGTTTGTTTTCCTACCCATAGTCCCTTTTATGAACTGGCAGACAAAAGCTTACAGACTCCCTGATTTCTAAGAGAAGTCCAAAAAAGGCTTATGTAATATTAAACATCTCAAACACTTAAATATATGCCGGTTTTTCTGACTAGTTTCCTTCAACTAATGTAATGTTTCAGAACTCCTCTCCAACTGAAGCTGGCATTTCTACGCACATATAGAATGAAAACAATCCCAGCTCTCAAATCCAGTAACAGACATCTGTGAGCACTTAGCTCAAAGAAGTCAGAAAATGACTAGAAATACTAGTGCTGAATTGTTATCTGCACCAGAACAAAATCAGCACAGGGTGGGGTATGAATACAAGAGAGCTAGGTTAAAGCTATGGGGTAGGTGCTGCCCGGACCGCTGGAAGTATCTTGCTTTGGCTGAGGTTTCCAGGGTTGTATATGTGTGTAAAAATCCATCAAACTGTACATAGATTCACACACTATTGTAAGTTATACCTGGATTTTTTTTTTAAGTGGTAACATTTATATATACTATATACCATCCAACAACCCGAGGGGCATAAAACAGCATCCTATAATCAAACCTCTTAATAGATCTGTAGGAAAAAAGCATGAATATTCATACCAAGTTGGATGAAAGACTAGGGTTTTAAAACAAAAAAGAAAAGAAAAAAAAGAAAAATGTGGGTAGTCTAATAAGACATCAGCTGCACTTAGAACCTTGGGATTTTGAGCTTTGAAACTTGCAGATTGTTTCTCTATACCAGTACAGAGTGAATCCTGTTTATGGAAAGAACTAGCCCCATTAGTGTTGCCAGTCCTGTTGATTTCAAAAAGTGACTTAGCTACCTGCCTCAAATCTAAGAACTTCTTCAATGTCCTTATTACTACAGCCCATGTTCATTCTGCTAGGCACCCCAGATCTGTCCTCAACTTTCCTTGATTAAGGCCAGAGTTCCACATGATTTTATACCTGTCCCCAGGTGCCATGTAATAATGAAGCAAGTAGACAAACACTGGAGTAAAAATGAGAAGAAACAGATAACAGTTGCCCTCACTTATGAGGATCAAATAAACTAATTCACTTGGCGACTGTCCTCATCTACGTTCTGAAATCAAAAGCAGGACAGCCGTGATGGAAGCTCCCTCGATAGTCGGCCTCAGCAGACTCAGCCCAGAAAGGCCATGATCAGTTCATCAAAAGACATGTTCACGTAGAGACTCTGCATAATACACAATCACCAGCACTCCTGCCCTGAAGCCCCCGAAACGTGGCCTGTGCCCTAACTGAACACTAGCCTTGGTTTGTCCTCTGGCAGCTCTGCAGTGACTGATGACAGCAAGTACAGTCTAGTTTCCAGGGTTGCTGGATTCCCTTGAAAGCCATCCAGAAGGAAGCCGCCTACGGGCCGCTTGGCCGTCTCTCGTGCTGATCTCAGCCTCTCCTCCATCACGTCTCCACCTTCAATCACTCCAATGATGGCACTTCTCTGAAGGACCTAAGGGGAGAAAGGACTGAATGCTTTTAACTGTTTCCAGTAGTGGAGACCTTTGTTTAAATGAACTTCACATGGAAGAGATCTCAGTGCAGCTGCTACAGTTGAAGCATGAGATGGAGCTCCCTCCTCCCTGGGAACCTTGCGGGCTCCAAAACACACAACTTGAAAGCCACCCAAACAGGTAAGAAAAGACTGAGGAGAAATTGAGCAATCGATACATGCAGTCATGTTTGGTCTTAGGTTAAATTAAACACACACTGAGCAAGTATTATGAGAGGGAAAGGACAAAAGGATCAGTTTTCATTCATTTAAATGACTATTCAGGCCTGCTTTAGGCTTGCTACCCCCAAGTCTCTCCATTAGAGAGAACTTTAAGAACTCTGTGGTTGGGATAACTTACTATCTGTTCGGAAAAAAATCAAACTACACCACACACCATCCTCAAAAAGAAATCCCACATGGCCCTCTAATCTAAACATATAAGAGTTACACAAATCTGAAAAAGATATATTCAAGTTTTTATAATCTTGGAGTAAGGAAGGTCTCCCTAAGCAAGCTAAAGCTTACCAGAAAAGGCTAATGTATTTGAATACAAAACTTCTCTAGTGAAATATACTCTCAACAAAGGCAAAGGAGAGCTCACTGCTTATTGGAATAGACAAAAACTTATACCATAGAAAACCTCTAACAAATCTTCTATGGAAATGACAACCCATAGGAATCAGGGCAGGTATGTGAATGTGAACTTCAATAATACCAAGTAAATGTGAATGGCCCATACACACATGGAGAGCTAACCAAAGCTCACCAGGAAGGAGATACAAAATGGAAATAGTTAGATACCACTTTTGCCCATCACTCTGACAAAATAGCTAAAAGACAGAGAGCTACACTGTGGAGGTAAAAGTGTTAGAGAAATGCCACATATTCTGATAATGAGAGAAAGTACAGATTAGTTCAGCGTCTTGGGAGCGCTAGTAGACAATATTCTCAAAATGTCAATTCTTTTATCTTTACATCCTAAAATTCCACTTCTAAGAATTATTCCTACAAATATATTCATTCATATGCATCAAGGTCTATTTACAAAATGTTTACAGTAATGAAAACCTGGAAACAACTTAAACATACATCAATAGAGCAAAGGCTTAAAGGAATTCTGATATACTCGTAGTACGGCTTCCTATGCAGGTGTTAGAAATAATGCAGCAGATACAGCACTATAGGCACTGACAGAAAGAGTTTTGAGCTATGGCTAAACAAAAACAAGCACATTTCTGAACATATGATCATACTCATGTAATGAAAACCCCATACAGTAAAGCATATATAAACACTATGTGTATGCAACTAAGAAGTAAAAATGCAAAGCAACAGTGGCTCTCTGGTAGAAGAGAATGGGAAGAGAGCCTGGAGTGCTGTGAAGAGGGAATTTCGCATCTCAATTTAAGTAGGACGGACATAATCAGAAAGAACACTTGGACTGCTGTATGAAGAACGATTTAAGAGTGAGTATGGCTAAAGGATACGCAGGAGGCAAGTTTAATAATTCGAATGAAAGATGAAGAGGACCTAGTCTAAGGGAGTGGCAGTGGGTGAAGGGGAGGGACAGGATCTGAAACTTCATCAGAAGGTATGATCAACAGGGGCACCTGGGTGGCTCCGTCAGTGAGGTGTCTGCCCTGGACTCGAGTTGTGGTCTCTGGGTCCTGGGATTGAGTACCATGTCAGGCTCCCTGCTCTGCTTTTCCCTCTCCCTCCTTGTGCATGTGCTCTCTCTCTCTCAAATACATAAAAATCCTTAAAAGAAAAAAAAAAGAAGGTACGATCAACCAACTTGACTGATCAGTTGCCCATGGAGAGGAAGAAAAGTCTAGGATGACCGCTGGCTCCTGTTGTGGAAGTCCAGGGAGAGGATGGGAAGAGCAACGACAAGGAATCCTAGGAAAACAGTGGCGGGTGACGCAAGATGATCATTCTGTTTTGTGCGTTCTGAGTCTGAGGTCAGCAGCCACTGAGGACACGTGTGCAACAAATGTGACTACCCAGGCTGGAACTGTGGACACCTGGCACCCTGCTGCCACTCCCCACAGCAGACATGGCTGACAGATACTCTCTTCCTGCTGTGCCCAGGCACAGCTCCAAGCACCGTAGGATGAAATCCATTTGCCTTCACTGGCCTAGGAAGAAAAGAGAGCCTACACCAGAATGTTGGAGAGCTTCAGTATTTAAGGGCATTCAGAATAAGAAGATCCAGTGAGTAAAAAGGAAGAAATCACAGGAAAAGGGAAAGATGTATGCAGACATACAAAGCAGGTAGTTACATGGACCTGCCCCTAAATGTGTCTAAACGTGACTGGCACAGCCCTATCTGGGAAACCCCCTTTCATGGACGTAAGAAGTATAATCATATAATTTATTGTTTAAAATGGAACACATGTGCCCTTTCCACCAGCCATCCAAGATGCCAAAAGGAAAGAAGGCTAAGGGGAAGAAAGGGGCCATGGCCCCTGCTGTCATGAAGAAACAGGAGGCCAAGAAGGTGGTCAATCCCCTGCCTGAGGAAAGGCTCAAGAGTTTTCGCATTGGACAGGACATCCAGCCCAAGTGGGACCTCATCTGCTGTGTCCAATGGCACCGCTACATCCAGCTGCAGCAGCAAAGGACTTTTCTCTATAAATGTCTGAAAGTACCTCCTGCAATTAACCAGTTCACCCAAGACCTTGCCCCTGGACCACTAAGCTACTCAGCCGCTAAAGCTGGCCCACAAATACAGACCAGAGACAAAGCAAGAGAAGAAGTAGAGATTGTTGGCCTGGGCTGAAAGAAAGCGGCCAGCAAAGGGAATGTCTCCACTAAGATGCCACCTGTCCTTCCAGCTGGGGTTAAGAGTCACCACCTTGGTGGAAAACAAGAAGACTCAGCTGATGGTGATTGCACATGATGTGGATCCCATTCAGCCTGTTGTCTTCCTGCCCATCCTGTGTCATAAGATGGGGGTTCCCTACTGCATTATCAAGGGGAAGGCCAGGCTGCAGCGTCTGGTCCATGGGAAGACCTGCACCACTGCTGCTTTTCACACAGGTTAACTTGGAAGACAAAGGACCTCGGGCTAAGCTGCTGGAAGCTGTCAGAATCAACTACAATGACAGATATGATGATATCTGCCATCACTGGGGAGGCAATGTTCTGGATCCAAAGTCGGTGTTTCACACGGTCAAGGTGAAAAAAGGCAGAGGCTAAAGAACTGGCCACCAAACTGGGTTAAGTGTGCACTGCTGAATTTTCTGTATGTAAGAGTAATAAAAAGTGCTCTTTCAAAAAAAATATGAGACACATGAAAGCATAAAAAGGGGCGCTATTAATAATCATGTCAAGACAACAGCAGATCATAGGGATAGAAAGAAGGACCACTGCACAGCAAAAATGTGAAGTGTAAGGCTGACTAGCACAGAAGAGGGACTTGAGGCTCAGCCGGCTGTTCTAATAATCATGCCGTCACACTCCCTGTCCTCCCTTCTACTCATGGAAACATTACTCATCCTACAAAGATAATTACTGGCTCAAAACAATTACTAGTGAGCAACACTAGCAATCAGGACCCACGGCAGTGTCCCCATGCTGAACTCTTACTGCAGATACCCAGAGTTCTATTCAGAATGACAACCAAGTTTCCTCTATGATTTTATGTACACTAACTTTATCAGTCAATTAAATTTTTTATTGGTACACTCAATAACAATGTTCCTCAATCTCAGGGCACTTTGCCATTGTGGGACCTGACCACTGCTCAGGATTACTCCACATAAGTGATCTCAACACTGAATTCTCCCCTCCGCTCGCACCTTCTCTTCTCTCACCAGCTCTGCTCTCTCCTAGTGACTGCATCCTTTCCCAGCTTCATTCACTCTGCTAGCAGGCTCTCTGGTCCACCGCCACAGCTTCATCCTCCCCAGCCCGACATAACCAGCCACCATCAGCAAGCATTTACTGAGGGCTTACTTATGTCAGGTATTTGGTACACGATGGAGATACAAAAAGGACGTTCAAAAATTGAGTTTAAGGAGGTCACAATCTAATGAAGACAAGCACATACAGAAATCATCGCACTACGAAATGACTGGAGCTATAATACAGTCACGTACAAATTAAAGGAGGTGGCTGAGGATGAACAGAACTTCCTGGAAGGGTCAGGGACAGTTTCCTAGAATGAGGAATGGAATGCAATGAGCCAGATCTGGAAGCAAGAGACACAATATGGCTGGAGATAAGAAAAAAAGAAATAGTCAAGAAGGAAGTCCGTGTACAGCCCCAGCAGAATGAAACAGGGTAATGCCTCAGGGAACTGCGGGTGACTAAGAAGGGCCACAGCCACAGGAGAAAAGTGGTCAGCACTGAGCTGCTGGAATAGGCAGAGGCCACGTCACATCAGAGTTGAAATAGAGAGTCATTAAATTCTCTTTGGGAAGTCGATATGGGATCCTATTTGTGTTTTATGACGATCTCTCAGATAGCAGGGCTGAAGATGGCTTCGATGGAAACAAGAAGAGACATAATTAAGAGGTAATGTCTACATAAGAGATGATGAGGTTATTATGCCTCAAGGTGGTGATAAGAAAGATGGGGAGATGGGGGCAGATCCTAGATATATTTAGGGAGATGGAATCAAGAAGAAGCAAACCACTGGACATTAAACCGGGTATTAAAAAGAGCCTTGAATGTGGAATTTAAGAAACAAAACAGATGAACATAGGGGAAGGGAGGGGAAAAAAATGAGACAAAATCAGGGAGGGAGACAAAACACAAGGGACTCTTAAACTCTGGAAAACAAACTGAGGTTTGCTGAAGGGGAGGTAGATGGGGGGACGGGGTAACTGGGTGACGGGCATTAAGGAGCACATGTGATGTAATGAGCACTGGGTATTATATACGACTGATGAATCGCTAAACTCTACCTCTGAAACTAATAATATACTCTATGTTTATTAAATTGATTTCAAGGAAAATTTTTTTAAAAAGGGAAGACTCAAAATTGCTGGGCTGAGGACCTTGGTGGCTACTATGAACTGAGACAGGAAAAGGTTTGAGTAGATCAGATACTGAGTGGTTACCTGAGTTTGAGGTGCATGTGAAGCGATATTATAGTAGAACCCAGCTGAAGTCCACTTTATGTCATTCTGAAGCCACACAGAGCAAGCTTGATTATCCATGCAATTTCAGAATTATTTGGCAAATAAAACCAAGGTGAGGCTGCCCAGGGAAAACACCCAGAGTGGGGCAAAAAAAAAGCCCAAGACAGAACTCTAGAGAGTTAGGATACTTGTGGTTCAGGAAAAGAAAACAGGGGAGTAAGAGATCAGGAATTGAGAAGCAGAGAAGCAGGAGGAGCAGAGAAGGCAAGAGTATGGAACATCAGTAAGCGAGAGTTTCAAACAGAGAGGAGTGGTGGGCAGTGCGTCCTTACCTCTGACTCTTCCTGTAGCCGTAGACAGTTATCCAGGAATAGAAGCGATCGATCAACAGACTTTCTGGCTCTTTTTATGGAAGTGGCTTCCTCACAAGACGCCTCTCCATCTGAGAGACACTGGAACCAGTCTGGCTGAAGGGCCTGCTGAATTGCCATGAACTTGGAAGCACTCATTTCCACTCGTCCCCCAAGACCCCACACGGACACAGACTGCCACGGAACAAAATGATGAGGAATCAGCAAGAGTAAAATGTAAATCAAAAGGAAATAGTAAAATGATAGAGCAATACTGAATTTAATTCTTATAAATGGAGAGATGGTGGCATTTCATTATCTTAGACATGGAGGGTAGAAGAAGCTTCCTTTATTATATCCTAATTCTCTGAGCACCTTATAGCTCATAGAGAATCCATCCATGGCCACACAGCCAGCTTCTGAGCTAGTCCCAAGAATTCTTTGTTATACTTTTCCAGTTCAGTGTTCCATTCTCTGAGACCCCACCCCATGCATGTTGTCCCTAAACAGATCCACAGGCTTTGATCTTTCTCTGTCTTTGATCACATTGTTCCTTTTGGCTGAAATGCCCTACTCCTACTTCTCTGCCTGGTAAAATACCATGCATCCGTCAAAACAAAGTTCAAGTATCATCTACTCTATTGAGCCCCCAAAACCTATCTGGGCATAATCCATCACTCACTCTCCTAAGCTCCTATAGCAATTTGTACTTACATCTTTTATAGAAACAATAGTACTGAGAATCCCAATTCCTGTTTTTGCCCCAAAAGCCTAGCCTAGGGCTTCATACATTAGTGAAGGTTAGTAAGTGTTTACTGGATCGAGTTAGATACAGATACAAAGAAGTCAGAATGTACAGAAGCATCTCTATATGATGTTCTTTCTTTGGTTACTCCTTCCCATATAGTACCTTTCTTCTTAGAAGAGACTGACAAGGACATAAATGGGGAAGCCACATAGAGTCTTTTTATTCTGGCCTAAGGCTTAAGAACATCATTTAAATGAATCCTCTCTCCCTTACAAATGGGGGTAGATAACTGAGGTAAAAATATTCTTTTGGATTAAAATTACAAAATAAAAAGAAGTTTAAAGCAGAATAATTTAAAATACTTCATCTTAGATAAGATGAACAGACATCGTTGACATCAATAAAGTGGGTACAAGAAAAGTAGTCGCATTTGTAAAGCAGGAGCACACACGGAGGACTTGCCAGAACGTAGTCCTCAGGGACAAGACCATTGTGCCATGTCTCAGGTGGAAACTTTTAACGAAGTCCTTTTGATACTGTTCTTCACTAGCTAAAATCTCTGGCTGTGAACCCAGCTTTTTCAAACGCTATTCTAAAAGCAAGCAGTATTATACCGAGATTCTACTATATATAGTCATACATGTGATAACACTCATCAGCAACTTTCCTAGCGCTTCCTGAGGTTGTTAAAACTGCAAATAAAGCATGGCATAAAAAAACTAGTGCTTTCTACCATCATAGCAATTTCTTTTTTTGCCACATACTTGACCCTCTTTCATCCCCCAATTTTTTGTAAGAATGAAAATGCTGAGGATCTATTCCTCACCTTAACCCCGTCTGCAGGCAGCCCTACTTTAATTCCTATAAACCACTCATGCCATTACGTTCATGGAAATAAGAAGGTATAAAGGGGCCAGGAATGGGCTGGCATCCCGGGCAGTGGGATCTAGCACTGAAAGGATACAATAGGCTGACTTTTAGGACAAAGCTGCAGCCCTGGAGGCCCTTCTGAGAACACACCTTGTTTGTTACATAACCGGCTGGGCAGGGGCTGACTGGATCATGCAGAGAACAGTACAAGAGCGATTCTGGCATGCCTGTGCAAACATAAAAAAGAGCTCCTGAAAGCACTTACATCGACAATTGCACTGCGGTGTAACGGACAGCAGCTTCATATACGTACTGCTGGATAAAGCAGCTCTAGATATAGTACCCTGTTCATAATTATAAGAGGCCTGTCAATATGAATGAAAAGATTACCTTTAAAATCTACTCATTTGAAAAAAGAATTAAATGTTCGTGTCTAATGACTAATGAGTTGCTCCAAAGGAAAAGTATATCTTAAAGTATGAAATACAATAAAAATGTTTAGTGGCATGTTGACCCTACTTGATCTGTCTTAAAAAATATATAATATCAAGTATGTTCATTTTAGGTACCATCCAATGGAACTAGCCACTGGAAAGACAAAATGATATGGTCAAAAGGTAATCTCACTAATAATAAAGCCATCCCACATCATGGGACCTAGGAGCAAAATTACAGGGAAGCTACAAGACACTGAAAATGGACTGAATTCTCAGTAAGTTTCATTGACTCAAGATGACAATTTCTTGGGTTCTTTAGTCAAAAATACAGTCATTTAAAAAACATTTTTTAAGTGCTTACTAATCTATATGTGCTTAAATTTCCCATGTTACCTTAAATTTTCATTAAAAAAAAAAAATAACTGAAAAGAGGCCCAGAAAACAAAGCAAGCAAAAAACAAACAAAAAAACCCAACTCTGCAGTTCTCCACCTATTTTCCCACCATTTCAATTATTATAGTTATCTCTAGAAAGCTTTTTAAGCTATTTTCACTTAATTATATGCTTGTATACTTTAAAGCTGGTTTTAAAATTGGATTCAGCCCAAGGAAAACATTACATAAATCCTTCTACTTAAAAACAGGGCCTTGTGACCAATGAGTCATCATGCCGTTCCCCAATAGAAGCAGAGGACCAAATAACCAATGGAAACAGAATCTTCATTCACTTAAATGAGTCTTAGATATTGGGCGACAGCTCAGGACAAAGTGGTCTGCAGAAGAATGGATTCTGTAGCTGCCAATGTGAAGCTTTTCCTATAAACAAATGGATACACGCATCTCCATATAAAATCTATTTCTGAACAAAAGAGAATATTAACATACCAGAGTACAGCTACAGATAAACACTTCATCTTCGGCTTCATCTTATGTTTTAGGCTCAAACATGGCTAGACTGCTTTGGATCTTAGGTATATCCCATGCAATTTCTTAACTCTGGGTCTTTGCTCTGTGCCTGGGATGTCTGCCTACACCTCTCTATCCCCACCACTGTGCCCACCTCCCGACCTGGCTAACTTCTACTTTTCCTTGACTCAGATAAAGTACCCCTTCTTCCTCCCTTTCTCAAGAATCCTTTCCTTAGTCTGACCTCTGTCCACATGAACCCTACAGCAAGTTATGTGCTCCTCCCTCTGGCCTATCCTGGTACATGTACACTTCCTAATCTTGCAAATGAGGTCCCTGCATCATACTAGAATTACGTATTTATCTTTATTCCAGACAGGCTCTGAGTTCCATTAAGGAAGCAACTGTTCCTACTCATCTTTGACTCCCCAGTGCATAGTTCTTAGATGCCCAATAAATGCTCATTAAACTAATGAATAAGTAAATGTATGAATAAAAGATTAGTCAATAGCACCTCCAAACTTCAAATTAATACATCACAAGGCAAACACAAATAACCTAATTTTTACCTATAAACTTTCCAATTCCTTCCTTATATTCTGCCAAGACTTCATGGTGTTCTGCCCTATAAGCAAAACAGAAAAATACATAATAATGAATCATTCTATAGACACTATGCAACAACTGGAACCTACTTCACCCAAACAAGCTACGTGACAGTAAATGTGGTATTGAACAACAAAGTACACCATTATTCAGGAGTCCCAACTCATTAGGCTGTGTTCATTAGCCAGAGTACAGGTCTTCAATTTACAACTAGTTCGGGGCAAACAGTAATTGGCAAAGATCAACCACTTCCAAATGGCCGGATTTTCTTCTTCCCCTCTCCCCTTTAAAATCACTATTATTAACACAATATTGCAGAGTTATTTCATCATACAGCAGGTTCTTCAATTAAGCATAAAGTCAGTACATACATTATATAAAATGATCTAACTTCATTAGTTTTGTTTTCATTAAGCAGGACTATCAAGTACAGGTGCAGACACAGGGAAACGTCTAAGGCTGGTGCATGAAGATAGCCTCTAGAGTCCAAGTTTAGTTCTCACAGTGCATTCCCTGCCCTGTCACCTCTGGGAGTGGCAGCAATGAGGGCCACCATCCTGGCACCATTGGATCAGAGGACTAGTGAAGCAGCTCTGATATATAGGTCTGGCCTTCCAGATTAGGGCCAGATGATGTATAACACTTGACATCTCCTGATTTCATTCTCAAAATCTATAAATTTTGTGCATATAATCAAAAAAGTCTTTTCACTGCACCTTATTGAGGTATCTGAGCTGCTGGCAGAGTTGCTACTTAAGTGATTGGGTCTAACACTTACAACGAGGACAGCGTAAGCTGAGCCATGGCAGGAAGCCCATGGATAGTATGCAGTGTCTGATGGGTCAGGTGTGGGGCAGAGCCGGTCTTGGTGTACAGAAGGCAGGCTGGAATGTCCATGGTGCGGTCCCCTGCTTTGCCCAGGTTTTTTATTTTTCCTAGACGACAGCCATTAACAACCTTGGTAAGACTCAGCTTCATCCTAAGAGATTTCTCTAGGTCCTGATAAGAAAAGAACAGTAAATTCAGGAGTTCCATGACATCTAAAGGCTAAGCACTTTACAAAGCAACCTACACGATGATGAATAACAGCATGTTTATTACTATTTCCAGTCTACAACTGTTTTAGATATTAGGAAGAAGGAAATGGAAGAAGATAGAGAGTAAGACAACTTCCCCCCAAAGACCCAGAGCAAAGTGATGACATCAACCACATTTAACTTCAGTGGTGGAATTTTTATGTGTACTGATGAAAATCAAACAAATGGAAGGACAGGAGTAAGGACTAATCACAGAAAAGAGGGATTAGTGATTAGTGCAAAAAGAGTGCACTCTTTTGCCAAAGGCTAGTTTTCAGCCTTGAAAATGTGTATAGAAGAAAGCCACACTGTTTAGGCCATATTAATTGCTAATTTGATCCATTTTTCCATTCTCCAATTTGAGAGAATACTACGCAACATAACAACTTCTCCTAATATGTTGTTAAATAAAGAAAGCAGGTTCCAAAACAGTGTCCTGGTGTTTACTAAATCATATGGAATAATATACACCAAAAGATAGAGATTATCTCTGAGACTTGAGATTATTTTCCAATTTGTTCTCATATGGTGTCGAAATAAAGATGAGAAATCACATGGAGCATACATGCAATTCATAAGCAGTTCAGTATTACTTATCAGGGATCTTGGCAGACTAGTTCCTGGTCCTTTTGGGTAACAGCCCTGAGGCTGATCTTGTCCATACAGCTAGCACAGATCCACCCTCAGGGTCAGGCTCAAACAAACCATCTCAAAGACTGAACAACAAAATCAGAATCACATTATCTAATCTGAGAACCAAAAAAGGAAGGAGGACCAGTTACTGTATTCATGCCCCATAGGGTACCACACAGGAATCCAAATGCCACGTGAGCACATTATTTGGAATAGGAAGGGTAAGTAATGATTAGAAATGTAAAGAAAACTGAAGGGAAACCCACTGGTTCTGTAATACAACCAAATCAGATACCCCAAGGTTAAACACAGGCACTCTCCAAGAGAGAAGCAGCAGCTAAATCTGGAAGCCCAGACTCTTGGCTTCCAAGACTTAGCTTTCTCTTGGGGACCTTTTAGACCTATCTTTGTGGAAGGAAAAAATGAACATATTCTCGGGGTCCCTAGAAACTTCCCTAACAGAAGAGTTTCAAATGTGATTAATCATCTGCTCGATTCTGAAAGCATTTTCTCTTATCTCCTTTTCCCCGCTGTTCCCTCAATTGAAGAAATAGATGTCTTCATTCTTTTTTTTTTTTTAAAGATTTTATTTATTTATTTGAGAAAGAATGAGTGAGAGAGAGCATGAGAAAGGAGAAGGTCAGAGGAAGAAGCAGACTCCCCAAGGAGCTGGGAGCCCGATGCGGGACTCGATCCCAGAAGTCCGGGATCATGACCTGAGCTGAAGGCAGCTGCTCAACCAACTGAGCCACCCAGGCGCCCAGATGTCTTCATTCTTAACCCAAGGTCTGGTTGGGAGCTCTAGAGGACATTGGCCACCATGTTCTTAGATGCAGAGATGGGTTCTCCTGTGATACAATGCACAAAACTTTAATCCCCGTATTTTTAAAGATAAAATTCAAAATCCTCAGCTTAGTGTACTGAACCCACTAGGTCAGCTAGAGAGGAATATCCACTTGACTCTCTCCATGGTGCAGGACTCTGATGCTATGTACTCCCATCTGCTGTTTGGGGCTTTTTTTTTTTTTTTTTCTGAAAGATTTTATTTATTTATTTGACACAGAGAGAGAGATCGCAAGTAGGCAGAGAGGCAGGCAGAGAGGGAGGGGGAAGCAGGCTCCCTGCCGAACAGACAGCCCAATGCAGGGCTCAATTCCAGGACCCCGAGACCATAACCTGAGCCGAAGGCAGAGGCTTAACCCTCTGAGCCACCCTCTAAGTTTGGGGCTTCTTAAGAGTCCCATCCTAATGACAATAAATCAACATGTCACCAAAAAAAAGGCAAACAAGGAAAAGTAGATGGCTGCATTTAAGAAAAAGTATTATAATAGATAAATTGCTATTGTCAGTGATCCTCTGTGTCATGAAAATGAATACAACTATTAGAAGGCATTAGAAAATGCCTTTCAACTGGAAATAAATATGAAAAAAAAAAAAAGCATGCAACTTTGCCTGGAGCTAGAAGAACCACACTATCCTTTCCCCATTCACTGTTCAGGTTATGGTAATTTTTATAAGTGCACCAATTCTCTAAGGGCTCAAATACAACAAGTTTTTATTATGGGGTAATGTAAACATAAATACGCACATACACATATTCATGTACATTTTTTTTAAAACATGCTTTGGGAGGGATATAATCTAAACCAAGCAAATTTCTCAAGAAACAAACCAATAGTCTCCAAAATATCAACTGACTTTTATTTGCCTTTGTCATCACCCTCTCCCCTGTGGGTCACTCACTGTAGGTATCTTCTAAGTTTTGTGCTGTTATGCTTTTTTTTTTTTTTTGCTTAAAGATTTTATTTATTTATTTGACAGATCACAAGTAGGCAGAGAGGCAGGCAGAGAGAGAGGGGGAAGCAGGCTCCCCGCTGAGCACAGAGCCTGATGCAGGCTCGATCCCAAGACCCTGAGGTCATGACCTGAGCTGAAGGCAGAGGCCTTAACTCACTGAGCCACCTAGGCGCCCCGTGTTTTGCTTTTCTAAATATACATTCACACTTTACTTTTACAGAGTTCCTGGGGAAGTCTTAAGGAAAAGCCATTAAAAAATAATCTGGAAATGCTTCACGGAAAAAAGTTTATCATTTTCAGGATAAGTGATAAGCTGTCAATGGATTATGCCTTCACGAGGACTAACAGAGATTCTCTGCACCTCTGGTAGCATTGTACCCGTCCTAACACTTCCAGTGTCACATGTGCCCCGCCACGCCCCAGCATTCCCTCAGAAGAAGGGATTTCTAAAATTTTTTTTAGATGAATTCTCTATAGACTGTCATGACTGTGATATGCTAAGGGAAAAGAGCAAGCTTAGGCGAGCACATGTTTCAAAAGAAACAAAACCGTTTCAAAGAAAAACCGTGTATATATATTCATAAACACACAAGTAAACATACATGCTACAATGTTTGTATATGCATAGAAAAAAGTCTGAAGGACTTCTAAACAATATGGTGCACTGAGTTGACTCAGAAAGACACAGAAATGATTGGGGTGGCTTGGTGGCTCAGTCGTTAAGCGTCTGCCTTCAGCTCAGGTCATGATCTCAGGGTCCTGGGATGGAGCCCTGCATCGGGCTCTCTGCTCAGCGGGGAGCCTGCTTCTCCCTCTCCCACTCCCTGTGCTTGTGTTCCCTCTCTCGCTGTCTTTCTCTCTCTGTCAAACAGATAAATAAAGTCTTAAAAAATTTTAATAAATAAATAAATAAGTAAAATTCTAGTAAACAATAATAGAAGATGAAACAGAGACTATTCAGAGGTAGAGTATTCTAAAATCTTTACACTATTTGGGAGGGGAGAGAGAGATAATGAATCATGTCAAACTGTTAAGTATGTGCGTCAAAAATTTCAAAGTAACCATTAAAAGATTAATGACAGAATGCATAATTTCTGAAACCGTTGGTGACGGATGGGGGATGATTAAAAAAAAAAACTCGTTAATATAATAAAAGGCAAGAAAGAGGAAAAAAGAACAAAAAGCACATCAAATATAGAAATACAAAATAAGATGGCAGAAGTAAATTTAAATATGCCAGTCATCACAATATAAGTTAACAATTTCACATAATGACAATATTAGCAACTAACATTTATTGGGCATTTACTGTCTTTTACGTATTAACCCTGCTAAAATGTATCATCAAATCCACCTCGTAAGACAGATGCTATTATTAAGTGCATTTTACACATGAGATACTGAGGGTAATAGAGTCACCATCTGGGAAGAGGCAGAGCCAGGACTTAAATCACGGAAGTTTGGCTTTAGAGGTTGTATCTACTTGGCTGACAGCCAATTAGAAGTTCCATCTTGTCCATACACATATGCGATTTTACATATTAACTGTAATGTTAAGATACAATTTTATAGCCATATTTTCCATTTTGTGTAGTGTTTTTGTGTAGTGTTGTTCTTGTTTTCCCTTATCTTCTTTCTCTGCCTCTATTCATCCTCCCAGCCTCTACAACCTTTCTCCATACTCATACAAATATTTAAACATACTCCTATATGGGAGGGGACTTTTTTTTTAAAGATTTTATTTATTTATTTGACAGACATCACAAGTAGGCAAAGAGGCAGGCAGAAACAGGAGGAAGCAGGCTCCCTGCTGAGCAGAGAGCCCTATGTGGGGCTCGATCCCAGGACTCTAGGACCATGACCTGAGCGGAAGACAGAGGCTTTAACCCACTGAGCCACCCAGGCGCCTGGGGATTTTTTTTTTTTTTTTTTTTTAATGGAAACATACCACACGGTATGTACTTCTTTACAATTTGCTTTTTCCCAGGAGGAAATGGATATCTTTCCTGGAGAAGAGACACAGAACTAACTTACCCTTTTAAAATAACTACTTCATGATATTACATAAATTGGGTGTGACACAATTTATTCAAAAATCACCCTTCTGATGGACACTCAAGTTACAGAACAGGTCCTGTGATCTCTGCAATAGTACGAGGACACAACTTCCCTGATCTCATTTTCACCCTTCTCAAGTCTAGCTTAGTTTATGTTTCCTGGCAAAGCGTTATGTTTATATTGATTTTTCTTCGTTAAGACATTCCAATGATTTAGGTTTGCCAATGAGTAAATCCAGGGTCCGCGTTACTAAGGTTTCCTCGGGCCATAGAGCCACAAAGCTGAGTCCAAGCTCCCACTGTAAACCACTGCCCTGCCTGACAAACCCACGTATCCTAGGAAGTACTGCCTCCGGGAACATCTAAGTTCAGTCAATAAGGATGGCTTTTTCTTCACTCCATGGGCCCCCTCCAGTGGCCCCGACCTCACGAAGCCCTTAGCAGAGGGATTCGAGATCGTCCCAACCCTCCTAAGTATTCTGTGCAGTACAGAAAACACTTCCGGCTGAGAGCCTGATTCTTGAGCAGAGGCCGGTAATGGAAAGGGGGTCCTTTGCTTTCTGAGATGCAGTGAAGCTTACACGATTTGGGAGAATCGGACTTTGAGAAGCCAAGATCCGCCAGGACAGCCAGAAAAGGGAAGGCGAAACACGTCAGGATTCTAACTACAGTTACTGCAACACAACGAGTACGCGTCTGGGCGCGACGTGACTCATCCGCCCGTGGTAGCCCTCATTCTAACAGGAAAAGGGGGCACTTACCTGCACACCTCCCAATATGTTTTCGCCTTGAGACCCCTCAAACTCCTCGTAGTTCGCTACCACGTGTCCGGCTTACAGAATTCTCGGCCCCCTAAACCACCGCCTCCGCTGCTGAGCCAATCAGGGAACACTGCGTCATCACCGGGCGCCAGGAAAAGGCAAAGGTGCTTTCAAAGCGAGGTCTAGTGACTGCGCTGCCGCGGGGCCGCTACCGTTACCATAGGTTACTGAGCAAACCCGTTCCGCCTGCGCAAAGCCTCCTGGGAGTAGTGGTTCGGCGGCGCCTCATATCTGCCTTCCTTGCGGCGGGAGGAACTACAACTCCCAGGACGACCCGGAAGGAGCCCGGCAAGTGAGCGGTCGTTCCAGCTTTGCGATGGTCTGGGCCTGAACCTGGAAAATGCTGCTGGCCCCCCAAGAAAGGTCCTCCTCAAGGAAGAGGACGGGGCCGAATCGCTGGAAACAATTTACAAGGAAGCCGAGTCCCAAGGTGATCCATTCCAAACGGGAGCTCTGGAGGGAGGAGGTGGGGCGGGGACCGGCCCCGAGGCCTGCGGGCTGGGCTGCGCTACCTCCCTCTTCCCCCAGGGGCATCCTTACCTGGCTCCCCCTTGCCTAGACCACCCTGGAGACAGCTTTGCCCTGGCGAAGGGGGCCTATGAACTTTGGGGTCTGGATACCTTGCTACTTTGGTGGGCAGCGTCGTGAAAGAACTATTTCCATCTTCTTAAACAGGAGAGGTCGGCTAGTGCCCATCCTGGTGAAGAGAATTCTTGAACTCCCTCGCCACGCATTCCCACCTCCGCAATTTTAGGGACGTTCCTGCACATTTCTTCCTTTCTTCCTTCCATCCTTCCATCCTTCCTCCCTCCCTTTCCTCTCTTTCCTTCCTTCCTTCTCTTCTTTCCAAATTTTGGATCGTTATTGGAGAGGGCAGATCTTCATGTTAAGTCCTCTGCCTCATATTCCTCCCTTCTAATTTTTCATAAAGTATCAAAACGAACTCAGGAATGCAAGTGGATATTAGACATTCCAGTACTTGATTCAGTTGAATTCTTTTTTAATTCAACCAACATTTCCTTTTTATATCTGTTACCTCCTTTGATGCCTTAGCATCCAAAGACCTGGAAAACTGGTAACCCTATTTTAAACTTGAAACATACATAAATGCCATGTGCAAAGTCATAGTCACACGGTGTGCGCTTTCCACAGACTACCTTTTTAACAGCCACAAAAATAAACGCTTGAAATGTAAGTGAGAGTACCAAAATGGAGTGGCTTCTCAGCTTCCAGCTCCAGAGCAGTTTCACCAGCTGTTTTCACCCTGAAGTTACACTTTCTTAAAAAAAAAAAAAATTCTGTAGAGATGTGGCATTCTTAGGGCTCTAGACAATCGTGCTTGCAGTTTGTTCTAAATATATCTGCTAAATAATGCCCTGGACATATTCCACTTGGTGCATATCTTGCCCCAGATAACAGAGGGTTAGCTAGGAACACTAGAGAGAGTTGGGAACAGAGTTTGCTCCTATTGTAATGTGCTAGTTCCACAAGAGATTGGATCCCAAATAGGTCATGGGTATAGACTTGATAATGAAAGGTAAAATTTGGGACAGTTTCTTAAGACTCCAAAATGAAAGATTTTGCTGCTAGTACTCCTTGTTACTGCCTAGAGGATAAAAAGGAAAAAGCACAAGAGCTTCTTGAAGTTCAGTTGTGTTTTAATAGGATCAGCTCTTTCTTTGTTGCAGAGACAAAATTATTCAGCAGTACAGCTGCATTAATTAGTTATCTTAAGGTACTTTGAAGGTGAAGTGTTATGTAAGTGAAAGAGTATTACACCTTTCCTTCCTCCATGTGACAGTATGCTAGTTTAAATATTCCCTTCTTTATTTAAAGACCCCCTGAATTATTGGCAAAGCAAATACCTCTGTTTGCTAAGTGACTGTTATAGGGAATTCTATGAGCTTCTGAGAGTTACAGAGAGTGAAGAAAGGAGGTGTCCTACTGGTCTGATTTCTAATTTTAGATTAATATCTGACTGACCTAGGTAAAAATGATCTTTACTTCATTTTCTGCTTTATAAGACAGAATATTGATTATCTCCCACCACATCCTCCCACCACCACCCCCACCCCCGGTTATATTGGACCAAACAACAGTCCTGCTGTAGGTAAGATAGGAAAGCCCCTTGCTACAGGTTATTCTTGAAAAGAGGGACCTGAGGAAGGGGGCATACCCTTCTCCAAGCAGATTTGCTTCCATGACTTTTGAATAATCTGGCTCATTAATCAGTGCTTATTTAGTTTTTTATAAGGAATATATCTAGCATTCCTCTATTTTGGCTCTTGGAGAGCTTTATTTTTTTTAAAGATATTACTTATTTATTAGAGAGTACAAGAGGAGGAGCAGAGGGAGAGAGACAAGCAGACTGTGTGCTGAGCACAGAGACTGACGCAGGACTCGATCCCAGGACCCTGAGATCATGACCCAAGGCAAAATCAAGATTCCACCACTTTAACCAACTGAGTCACCCCAGTGTCCCCCTGGAGAGCTTTAAAAAAAAAAAAATTACACCTGGGCCCTATTCCAGACCAATTAAATTGGAATCTTCAAGTGGGCTTAGGCAGGAGATAAAAACAGAAGAGCTCCCAGAGAAGGTTTCACGATTCTTCTTCTGACCATCATTCTGTGTTCCTGCTGGACTTGCTGATGAAATGGCTTGGGGAGAGAAAAAGGACGCATTTCCATATGCTTTAGTCAGAAGGATCGATTAAAATGGCAAAATTGATAAAGTTATTGCTGTGTATTAATATTCTCTATATGTTATCTACAGCCTGCCTTTGACCCTGACAATGTGGAACACTGGATTAAGGTAAGGATGTTGCACAGTTAAGATAGAGAGTTAAGAGTCAGACATAATCTGATGGGAAGGAGTACTGATAGATCTCCATTTTGTGCATGTTTTGCTATTTTTATTCTCATGGGACTGTGTTGCTTTAGTTTTAGATTCCTTAGTATTTCTTTTTCATTCTGTTGCTTCTCCTGAAAATATGAATGAAAGAAAATTAGTATAAACATGCTCTTTTTTTTAAAAAGATTTTATTTATTTATCTGAGAGAGAGCATTCACAAGCAGGGGGAGGGGCGGAGGGAGGGAGAGCTGTGGAGCTTGATCTTGATTTTGGGACTCTGTGATCATGATCTGAGCCAAAGGCAGACACTTAACCAATTGAGCCATCCAGGTGCCCTTAGACATGCTTTTTCAAATGTTGTGAGGATCCTATGAAGAGGACTAAAAGAGCAGGGGAGAAGAAGCTGTAAGAGAAGATGTGGTGGCCTTCCTCGGATATTGGAAAGACTGCACTGTAGTTACATTGATCTATGGGACCAATGCATTAGGAAAGCTGTGCATGCATCCTAAGAGTTTTCTCATAACTGGGGGGAGCCAAAAATGGAGCGGGCATTCTCATAAAGAGATGTATTTTCTATCAGTGGAAGTATTCAAGTGGATTCTAAACGGCCACTTAATGTTAGGACTAATGAAGAGTATGTTTGAGCGTTCTGTGAGGGGGGGGATTGAGTTAGGTTAACTTTCTGAGCTCTTTTCCAGGCCTGAGATATGTGTTTTTGAGTCCAAGTACCATTTAAGTTGAAAGTACTATTAAACTACTTCAGGTGCATGCCTCTGAGTGTCAGTTTGGCATCTTGCCATACTCAATTCATTTGTGCAGCATATGTTTCAAAATCATGCAGCATTTTCCTGGGAAAATACCATTCTGCCTGGTCGTATTTTGAAGAGCTATTACTTATCTAAATTGACAGGCATTATAAGTTCCAGATGGAACCTAAGCCACATGTAATCCCTCTTAACTATTTATTTATCCAGCCAGTATTTATTAAGTCCTTCTAAGTACTAGGCCATTCTGTTGAACACTGAAGATGGGGCAGGTATAATCCCTGCCTTCCCAGAGTTTATAGTCCAGTGGAGTTAAACAACTTACTTAAAACTCTTGGGAGAATTAAGGATGTAATAGAAGCATGTGGTGGGGGACACTAATATAGACGGCCCAGAGAAGGCTTCCTGGTTCCTGCAGAAGGTCTGATTTAGAAGACCAGTAAAACAGATCTGCCGTTATGGAGGCCAGCCTCTGGGAAGCCCACCCCCAGCCTCCTACAAAGCCTAGTTTCCATGTCTGTGCTGAGTGTCCCAGTGCCAAACCCCTGCAGGGCTCAGTTGCACATTTAGTTACTCTCCCCTCCAGAAGGGAAGATTTAAGTGAAAGAGAAGGATAAAATTCTGCTCTGACTTTATGCAGTTGTCAGACAGCTTGATCGGTTAGATTTTTAGCATTCCTCTAAAATTTCTGTGGTAGCTCTGTCTCCATTATGCCCTCAAATCTCTCATCTCAAAAAAAAAAAAAAAAAAAGTAAGTCCTTACTTGACCCTGCAGTCCATTCTGATTATGGTACATCATTTTCTTATCCAGTGTCTTTGAATGTATAGTCTAGACTCTTTCCCTTGCATTTTCATTATCCTCTGGTGTCTACAGTAATTTTCCTCCTCCTGTTTCTGTTTCTCACCACTCTGCAGAAACAGTTGTCATAAATGACTTCCTGATCAAATCCACTGTTCTCTTCTTCATCCTCAAACTTTGTAAGGTTCCTTTGATACATTTGTCACTTTTTTTAATTATAGAAATCTTCTCCTTCATTATCTTTTTATGATGCTGTTTTCTCTTGCTTCTCTTACTACTTTTCTATTCACTCCTGTCTTCTTTAATGATTTTGTTCCCTAATGTAACCCAGCTCTGGGGGTATCCTAAACAGTTAGGACTTCTGGACCTAAGACTTCCAAATCCCCTTGAGTGCACCACCCTCTCAAAGTCCGCTTAGACCTTGTTCCATGGAAGAAGGAAGAGAATATGGAAAGGGTATGGAGCATGGTGAAGGTCGAGAAAGGGCTTTCTTCGAACAGAAGAGATCACTGGGGCAGCCCTGGGGACTTGGCTGAATCAGGTAACCAAAATCTTATGTGGTACCAAGAATTGGTAGAGCAGATTGATCCAGGCTTGAGAGTTTTCACTGAAGAAGCAAAGATGCAAGAGATCTGAGGCTTACGTAAGAGAGTAGCTGAATATCCAGGCAGAGTAGGAAGGAGGGGACCCTTTAAAGGAGGAGGAGGCCTAATTTGATGAAGGTTGTGGTTAGGTGCAACACCAATGTAGCAGAGGAGGGGGAGCAAAAGAGGTAGATGGACAGGAGGCTGATGTTGGGGAGGCGTTATCAGCTTTGGGGTTGAACAATGGAAGATTCTATTTGATGTGGTTCAGGACCACGTCAGTGGGTTGTGGAAGTACAATTGCAGGAAAGGCTATTGGAATACAGGAGTCAAGCAAACTTTGAGTCTGAAATGTTGGTAAGTCTCCCGGAGGGACGCTGAAGTCACTTAGAATCAGGCAGACCTTGAGTAGAACTTTGAGTTCTGGGGCAGCTCACCGAAAATGCAACAATTCACTATAACTTATAATTTATCCTCATCCTGATTTGATTGACTGACTCGTCTCTTTACTCCTCTGCATTCTGTTACTTTGATAATTAAGCTTTTTAAACATTTTCATTGATTCTCTATTCTTAACTTTCAGGGATTCTGTATGCCACCCGATGAAACGTTAAATTCCAGATGGGCATTTAAGGCCCTCTGTCAATCTAGCTGTAATATAAATCAACCTGCAACAACACCTTTGCTGATACTCTATGTGACTTTTGTCAGGCCAGTCTCCTTCCCCTTCTGTCTTCCGTTTAGTTTGACTCACACTGATCCTCCAAGACTGGGATACCATTCCTCTCTGAAAGGCCATTCTAGATCTTTCCCTTAAAATTCAGCTTGAGGTGCCCCTCTCAGTGAACAACTTTCCTTGACCCACCTCAACCATGTAATCCCATCTTCTAATACTTTTTCCCTGGGAATTGTATTGGCATTCATACACAACAGAGACTGCATTCAGCATTTGCCTGTATACAGAGTGATTTTTTAAAAACTTGGACACTCTGAAAAATATGTTACTCCCCAAACTATTATTTGTAAATATGCAGTTTGCACTTGAGGGTATATTGAGAAAGTTGTGCTTGTACCTCCCAGCCTTGAGGAAATGAAAGAGTGCATTATAGTTGCCGTTCCTGCTGTCGAGTGGACATTGGGATTGATGTGTGTCATGGGATGTAAGGAGCTCTTACTGAGTATTTATAAGATCATGGGAGTAATTTAAGATAGTTTCTTTATAAATTGTATATTTACATGTAACATAATTACTGAGTAAGAAATATTTGATTAGAAACGCTAATCACTTTGTGTTCCTTTAGAGCGATTCTTGAGTTGTGTCTTGCACACGTGGCACACGATGCAATAAATAGTAGGTAGTAGGTAAATGGTAGTTAGATAAAGCTGAACTCTTTGATAGTCACTTTTAGTTTTGCTTTCCCCTCAAAAGTTTTGCTTTTCCTCTCACTAAGGTAGTGAGAACAGGGCTAGCCTTCAGTCCTTCAATCAACTTGCTTAAATAGTAAGCTGTTAAATTGACACTTTGTGTTATTGAAATATAATTTAAGATAGACCTCTTCTGTCTCTCACATATTTATTTTGAACGAAGTGGTAAGGATGTAATATTTTAAATAAGGAAATACAGAGACTATTTCTTATTTTATTTTTATTTTTATTTTTTTTTTATTTTTATTTTACAGACAGAGATTACAAGTAAGCAGAGAGGCAGGCAGAGAGAGGGGGAAGCAGGCTTCCCGCTGAGCAGAGAGTCTGATGTGGGGCTCGATCCCAGGACCCTGAGATCATGACCCGAGCTGAAGGCAGAGGCCTCAACCCACTGAACCACCCAGGCATCCCCAGAGACTATTTCTAATCCCCAATATCATCTAGTTGTTCTTTTTTTTTAACCAAAATTTTCATTTTAAGTGATATTCCAAACACTTGGTTTGTGAGAGCCAAGCAAACAACCCTTCCTTGTAAGTACCAGCCCATGTCCTTCTTTATTACCAAAATCAGTCTGCCCCTGTGTCCAAGAGATCTTTACCTCCTTTGTTAAGAATCTATACCAATTCCAGTTCAGGTGAGATGATCTCTCATACAGAGTTCTTTCTTTCATTCATAGCCTAAGGAACAAAATCTACAATCCTGTTTTTGTTGTTTATTTTTTGTTTGTGAATGTTAGTTTAAAAACTGAAAGTTGATCTTTTTTTTCCCCTAGTGGTTCTTTGTTTATAATGCAGGCTGAAGCAATTGTTAAAAAGTAGAAGGGAGGTACATTACACCATTGTTATTGGACAAAAAACTGCAGAGGGAGAGGTCAACTCTCAGTACAAACTAGTAACTAAATCACAGTAATTTACCTTTAGAAACCATTTCTTTATTTTTAGCTGTGACACTGCTTTTACAATATGCAAAAGCCCAAAAAGAACTACCCAAGATGTGTTGTCACATTCTTTCTACGTTGAATTTGGCAACATTTTATATTAGATTTATTCAGATTATACTAACATTTTAAAATGTTATATGTGTATATAACATACACATACATGATATGGATGAAATTCATCTTGCTGTCTTAGAATTTTAAAACCTTAAAGGAAAGGACTATGTGCCAAGCATATTGTGACCATCCAATAAATGCCGTATCAACCATCATAAATTTGGGCACATCAGAGGCCAAGAAATAATGTGGGAGACAGATCTCTCCAGAGTGACTCATAAAGAATGAATGATACTTTCTTTATTCTAACCCTGATTAGATCATGTTTTCTTCTGATTCATATCTTTTCCTGTGTGTCCTGTTTTCTACATCTTTTTCAAATTACCCTTAGCTTTTCAACTTTATTCCTCTGTTTCTAATTCAAACTTAATACATGAAACCCTTGAGAATTTAAAAGGTAAAGTCCCTGGCAAGTTTTGACTGGCCAGTCTTTCCAAGAAGGGCAGGAGGAAAAATCATTTTCAAAATAGTCAGGAATGTAAACTGTGGGCAAGTACAGCTTTTTAAAATGAATTTTAGGGGCACATGAGTGGTTCAGTTGGTTGAGTGTCCAACTCTTGACTTCAGTTCAGGTTGTGATCTCAGGATTGAAGCTGGAGTCAGGGTCGCCGCTCAGAGGGGAGTCTGCTTGTCTCCCTCACTCTGCCTCTCCCCCTGCTTGTGCACGCATGCTCGCTTGCTTGCTTGCTCACTTGCTCACTCGCTCTCAAATAAATAAATCTTTAAAAAAAATAAATTTTACATGTATTCATTGTTTTAACAAATATTTATATGCCAAATATAAAATGTTATATGCCAAGCACTCTTATAGGTACTGGGGGTTTCACACATGAAGAGGACAAACATGCCTGCTCACATTCTACTAAGGGGAGACAATATAGAGCAAAATATGTTATGAGGTCATAAGTGCTATAGAGAAAGAACAGAGAAGGGGAATAGAGAGAGCTGTGAGGAGGGTGGTTACAATTTCATGTAGGGTAGTTCGAGAAAGCCTTACTATGAAGGTGACATTTGGGTAAAGACATGAGGTGGCAAGAGAGTCGTATGGCTATCAAGGGATAGCAGTGCAGCAGAGGGGAAGTAAGAACAAAGGCCATGAGGTGTGACCATGCTTGGCACATTTGAGAAGGCATGCACAAGGTCCGTGTGGCTGAAGTCAAGTGAGCAATGGGATGTAGCGGAGGAGAAGGTTGGAGAGTTTACAAAGGGCTTCATGGTGCAGGACCTTGAAGCACATGGTAAGGACTTTGATTTTTATTCTGAGTGAAATAGGGAACCATGAAAGGATTTTGAGCAGAGTTATGTACGGCTTTCATTTCAAAGGGACCAATTGAGCTGTGGTGGGAGAAGATCACAGAAAACCTGTCAGGAAATTGTGGTGCTTTGAACCAGGTGATGGAAGTAGAGATGATAAGAAGGGGTCAGATTCTGGATATATTTTGAAAATAGAGTCAACAGATTTCCTGACAGATTGGTTTTGGGGTAAGAGGGAGAGAATAGATTCAAGGACTCCCAACGTTTTCATCCTGAGAACTGAAAAAATGGCATTGTCCCCTAGGTTGGAAGGCTGGGAATACAGCAGATGTGGAGAAGACCCAAGTTTGCAGGGAGGGAGAAAGTCAGGGATTTAATTGTAAAAGAAGTTCTTTTATATTGTGCAGGTAAATCAAAGTGCCAACAGTTTGCCCACCTCCACCAATCCCATTAATTGGGCCATGTTTTTACTTGATTCAAACCATTCTGGATGGCTATAATCCCAATTTCATTGAGCCTATAGTGTGTTTAATGTATGATGGGAGGTTCATTCCAGGGGTAGGATTTTGAGGAAGTGTAGCTGCTCTGCCTCTGCGTTATATTCATATGCAGATCCTAGTAGCATTGGGAGCTAATAATACTGTATTTTTTATTTAAAATAAAATATCCAAGTGTCAGGATCCCATCAACTAATGCTCTAAACAAAAGTAATCTAAAGTTTAAGTAATAACTTTTGTTCAAAAATAAACTTTGTGAATACATGTTAGAATTTGGGAAACTATTGCAATTAATTTCATGTTTAAAAAATGAAATTATTTGGGGTGTTTAAGCCTCCAGGATTCCTTTTAAAATGGAACAGTGAGAGACTATGGACTCTGAAAAACAATCTGAGGGTTTTGAAGGGGTGGGGGGTGGGAGGTTGGGGGAACCGGGTGGTGGGTATTAGGGAGGGCATGGATTGCATGGAGCACTGGGTGTGGTGCAAAAACAATGAATACTGTTACGCTGAAAAGAAATTAAAAAAAAAAAAATGGAACAGTGGAAGTATCTTAGTTGGTGGTAGAAAATCAGTTTCTTGAGTAGGAGAGAAATCCATTAGCCCTAACAAGGTTGTTGTCATCTTAATGGTTTTTTTTCTATGATATGATAGAAGGTGGAGAAAGCCTCCGAATTTGCAGTTTCAAAAGCATTTTCTGCTACAAATTCCAATTTGTCCAGAAGGCTTTGGAGTGAAATCATAGATTTGGAAACATCTGAGCAAATAGAGGATCATGATGAAGTCTATGCAGAAGGTAAGAAAATACATTTTTGCTGCAGTGTTAACAGTTCTTTAGAATACAGCCTGCTAAAGCATGACCCATGATGCATTTCAGAGTACAGGATGGAGACTTTTCTTTCTCTTGCTCTTAAGTTTTGTGTCTTCCTACCTCCCTGAAACCGATCTATCCTGGAGTGAACTCCAACATTATAAGTAAGGTTATATTTAAGGCCCATTTTGTCTCCCAAAATCCAACATCCAGAGGCAGTTTGATAGGACACAGCTGCCTGGTGGGTGTTATAGGTGTCCCTCCTGCAGCACAGAGGGCAGCATGATCACTTGATCTAGTCTTAGGAGATCATTTGACCATTAGTTTGTAAATCCACTTTATTCTTTATGAAGAGAGTCTAAACTTCTCTAACCTTCCTACCTCCCCAAAACATATGCTCTTCTGTAATTTGGTATTTAGTTTCTGATACTCTGGGGAACCCCAGCATTTAGGGATGAAGAGATCAGGGGAACCAGCAAAGACTGGAAAGGAAAGGCCACAGAGGTAGGAGGAAAGTCAGAGCGGCCATGTCCTGGAAGCCAGCTTCCATTTAGACTGTTGTCTCTTTTTATTCCATTAATTTATTCTATTAAATGGCTCTATTTATTCATAGCATGTCTTCATTCAAAATATACATATATATAAAATTATTTATAAGTATGTATATAATAACTTAAGTTTATAATAACAACTTACATTTATAATAAAATCTATTATATACAAATATATATATAATTATACCTGTGCGGGGTACTATTTTAGGCACTGGAGGAACAGGTTTTGAACAAGAGAGGCAAAGCCCTTGCTTTCATGGGATGCACATTCTACTGTGAGAACAAAGGAAACTTAAAATTATTAGGTAGTGATAAATCATTCAGGTTTGGACCTGAGTAATAAGAAGGAGCCAGCTAACCCATAATGGTGGAAGGGCATTCCAGTCAGAGGAAAAGTAGCATCAAGAGTTAAAGTATAGACAAGCTTGATGTGCTTTAGGAACTGAAGGAAAACCAGTGTGGCTGGAACTTCGCAATGGAGATGAGCTTGCAGGAGTGAGCAGAATACCTGTTACCTATGGCCTATAAGCCTGGTAGGAGAATTTAGATTTTATTCTGAGTATGATGGGACATCATTGAAGGGTTTTAAGCAGATCAGTATTTTAAATATACAAAAGTGAATTATAGGGGAGAAAAGGAGGGAAAAGGGAGTTCAGTGAGAGGCTGGTATAGTGGTCTGGGTGAGCAGTAAAGGCCCTTGGTCTTGGGCGGTTGGTAGAACTGGAGATGGGAAAAGGAGATTGGTTCTGAAATTGGCAAGGCTACACCTTGCATACCCTGTCTCCCAACCCACTGGTGGGAATACATAATATACTTTAGCCTCTTAAAGTTTCTGAGAAGTCATGCTGTCTAAAAAATGTTTAGTTACCCCAATTCCCAAGCTTCCTATACTTTGAAACTCTTTTTATCCTGAAATCCATATTCCTATCCTGAAGAATTAGTGCTACACATTGGAAAGTACTAGTGTATGTATGACATGGTTTTCAAAGGCTTATATCCTTTTTTCTTCTCTCATCAATCATCTATTAATACTCAATAAGAACCAATGTTCTAAGCAACATAGTTTGAGAAACTCTGCTTTAATGTAGCCTTAGAGCCTCTGATCCAAAAGATGGTCCTGCAGTTGAACCCTCCAAGGGTGGGCAGTTCCCGTTCTTTTTCTTTTGGGGTACTGCATAGCAAACCCCTATTTACTAATGAGTGGCATTTAGTAAATCTGACTTACTCACATATAAATTATTATAAATGTCTGAGTTATTGTACACAGGGTTACTCAGTAAATATCTGTTCCCTTGGGCCGCCTGGGTGGCTCAGTTGGTTAAGCAACTGCCTTCGGCTCAGGTCATGATCCTGGGGTCCCAGGATCAAGTCCCACATCGGGCTTCCAGCTCCATGGGGAGTCTGCTTCTCCCTCTGACCTTCTCCCCTCTCTTTCTCTCTCTCTCTCTCTCAAATAAATAAATAAAATCTTTAAAAAAAAAAATCTGTTCCCTTTCTCTACCTTCCTCTGAAAGCCAATAACATTGCTAGTATACTTTTTACACGGTTTCTACTATCTTGATTCATTGTCTTCTATTTTATATGTCCTGTATTCCTATCTATTTAAAATGCCTTTTGGCCTCTTTTTTTTTTTTTTTTTTTTTAAGATTTATTTATTTGACAGAGAGGCAGTGAGAGAGGGAACACAAGCAAGGGGAGTGGGAGTAGGAGAGGGAGAAGCAGGCTTCTCACTGAGCAGGGAGCCCCATGCAGGGCTTGATCCCAGGATACTGGGATCATGACCTGAGCCAAAGGCAGCCGCTTAAGGACTGAGCCACCCAGGCACCCCGCCTTTTGGCCTCATTTAATGTAAGAAATATTCCATTCCCTCAACGCTCTATGTGATCATGGTAACACATGTTATGAAGATAGTGCTGAAATACATACTTTTCTTTGACACCCCTATGTCCTACCCGTAGAGCTGTTTGATAATGATGATAGTGATGAAAGTATTGCTAAAGTAGACATTTTCTCTCATACCTATATATTGAAGATTTCTGAATATTACTAAGAAAGAAATTCAAATAGAAGTTGGCTTCCAGGATATCTCATTATTTGATTTTCCTCCTACCTCAGTGGCCTCTCCTTCCTAGTCTGCTTTTCTGGTTCTGCCTTATCTCTTCAACCCCTAAATACCGGAGTTCTTCAGGGCTTATTCTTGGAACCAGTTCTCTATCCATCTTCCTCTTTTGGTGCTCTCATCCACTTCTGTGGCTTTCAATTCTATCCATATGCTGACGACACCCACATTTATTTCTTCAGCTTGGACTTCTCCCCAGAAATCCAGAGTGGTATAGCCAATACCTGTTTGACATTCTTATTTATATGTCTCCTAAGCATTTCAAACTGAACTAGCCTAAAACTGAATTCCTGATCTTCCCTCTAAACCTGCTTGCCCCTAGGCCTTCCCTGTCTCAGTAAATGGCGTCTCCATTTCTGCAGTTGCTTCAGCCAGAAACCTTGTAGACTTCTTTCTCTCATTTCCCATATCCACTACATCAGCAAATCCTGTCTGTTCCACCTCAAAGCAATACGTTCTAAAATTGGGCCATTTTTATTACTTCCTGTCCAGGTCCAGGCTACTATCACTTCTTTCCTGGATTATTGCATTTATCTCCCAACTGTTATCCCCTGCTTCTGTGTAAGGGATTTTCAGCCTCAGCACTGTAGATGATACAACAGATAATTAGATAATTATCTTTGGGGCGGGGGCTGTCCTGTACATTGCTGATGTTTAACAGCATATCTGGCCTCTGCCTACCCGATGCCAGTATCACTTATCCCTGTTACAATAACCAAAAATGGCTCCAGATGTTGCCACTTGTCCACTGGGGGGACAAGATCATCATGATCTAGAACCACAGCTCAAAATCTGATCCCCACATTATCTCTTTCCTTTATCTCCTGTTATTCCCCTTCACTCACTCCTTTCTAGCCGCACTGCCTCTTTGCTACTTCTCCAACACTCTGGACATTCTCTTCCTTAGGGCCTTTGCAACTGCTTTCCCTCTGCATGGAATAAGATTTCCTCACATATCCATATGGCTCACTTCCTCACTTTCTTCCCTTTTCTGCCCACATATCTTCTCAACGAGGCCTTCTTTGAACCCCCAGTTTCAAACTGTCAATACTTAACTTCCGTTTCTTTACATACCATTTCTCACTTGTCAGCTCTGTTTTTCTGATTTACTTATTTATTGTCTCTTTTCTCCAGTTAAAATGTAAACTTGGTTGGTGATAAGTTTTATTTGTCCTTTTCTGTTTTTTGCTCTTTTCTCAGCATCTAGCACAGTACCTGACACATGATAGATACTCAGTATTTACTGAGTGAATGAAAACAGTGAAAGAAGAAAGTCTCTGAAGTAATAGTAATATTAAAAATTTTTTTGTTTTGTTGACAGCTCAGGAGCTAGTCAGTGACTGGTTAGACACCAAACTTAAGCAAGAACTAGCAAGTGATGGTGAAGATGATGCTGAAGACACTGGGTCAAATACCCTTCCTATGCCAGAAGCCAGTGATCATTTGAAATATGACAAGTTTGATGGTAAGAACTTTTTTGATTGTTCTAAACTTTAACATCTAATGAATGTATCTAAGAAGTCTTTTTAATTGTTTTAAATAATGAATAATATATTATTTGCTATGGTCTGCTTAGTTTTATAATTGGCTTTAATTTTTCTTGGTTCTATTTAAATTACTTACATATATCCTCAATACATTCATGGTGTTTTTTAAATTAAAATATTCTATTTGTAATTCTTCTTATGACTATAATAGCAATTAATGCTCTTTGAGTGTCTCTTCCCATATATTGCTGGATGACTCTTTATTTTGATGTGGCTACATTTAAACATTTTACATTTATAAAAGAGTTTACTGCTTATACAGCCAACTAGTGAGTGAGGGTTCATTGAGTGTACTCGGAATTTGGTATTTTTTTTCCTCAGCATAAAGGTAGGCCTGGCAATAGTCGTGGCAGCTCCTCGTGTGACTCACACACATGCTTGGTCAACTCACCTGGCAGCATTCCCCTTGTTTAGGACTCTACACAACCTACAATATTCCCAGCCCAGCAATCACAAAATCATGAGCTCTTAAAGATAGAGGAATCCTTCAAGATCACCTTGTCTGATCTCCCCTTTTCACCCCCTCAGATAGAGATCATTCCTTAGTATCCCTCACATGGGTGATATAATTTCTGCTGGCACATCTCCCAGGATAGAGGTGCTATTGTCGGGCTCTAATCCTCATATATTTTCTCTTGGGAGAAGTAGGAGTTTGACCTCAGTAACTCTTTAGTACAAGAGAAAATAATACCATATTCCCTCTCCCAAGAGAAGTATTGTTGTTTTTGTTTGTTTGTTTGTGATATAATCATGGCTGATCTCTCCTATACTTCAGTGTTCCTAGCTTAAATATACCAGTTCTCAAAACAGTTCTTCATATCACATCCTTTCTAAATCTTATTATGCCGGTTGCCACCTTTTGGATGTTTTCTAATTTATTAATATCATTATTAAAGTGAGGCATTTCCATACTTCATACTTACTCTGAGACTGTATGGAATATAGTGAAACTATTAGTCCTTTCATATGATGCTAATAGATCTAGTTGTATTTATTTAGATTGGCAATTATCATCTAGTATCATACCAGGCCTCACTCTTCTTATGCTTGTAGAGTTTTTTGTGCTGTTTTCTTTCTTTCTTTTTTTTTTTTTTAGATTAAAACATTCCTATTCTGAGCCATTAAAAAAGGATATTTACCAAAAATATTGATTAACATGGGATTATCTCAATAGACACAGAAAAAGTACTTGGCAAAATCTAACATCCATCCCTGATAAAAAAAAATACTTAGCAAACTAGTAATTCCTCAACCTGACAAAGGGCACTTACAGAAGACATATAGAAAACATATGAAAATGACAAACATAAGTCATACTTTATGTTTGTACGTACATAGGTAGGTACGTACGTAGTCGTACCTAAATGAATTACATTTAATTAAATATTCCAATTAAAAGACAAAGATTGACAGAGTGATTTTTAAAATATGTAACTATATGCTATCTACAGGAGATACAATTTAGATTCAAAGACATGAATAGATTGAAAGTAAAAAGATGGGAAAAGGTATACTATGTAATCATTAACCAAAAGAGAGTGAGAGCAGCTTACTAATATCAGAAAAAAAAAATAGACTTTACCATAAAAAATTGTTACTAGGGACAAAGAAGGGCATTTCATAATGATAATAAGGTCAGCCATCAAGAAAACATAAGTATAAACGTACATACACCTAATAAAAGAGTTCCAAAATAGGGGTGCGCAGGTGGCTCAGTTGGCTAAGCATCTACCTTCAGCTCAGGTCATGATTTCAGGGTCCTGGGATCGAGCCCTAAATCGGGCTTCCTGCTAAATGGAGAAGCTGCTTCTTCCTCTCCCTCTGCCCTCCCCGTTCATGTTCTCTCTGTCTCAAATAAAATGTTAAAAAGGAAAGAAAAAGAGCCCCAAAACACATGAAGTAAAAACTGACAAAGTCAAAGGGAGAAATAGATAATTACACAAGTCTCCCTCATACCCCATTTTCAGTAATGCATGGAACTAAACAGAACATCAATGAGGAAGATGTTCATATCATTAGTCATTGAGAAAATGCAGATTAGAACTACCTTGAGTAACCATTACATACCTATCAAAATGGCTTATATCCAAAAACTGACCATACTAAGTATTGGTGAGGATAGAGGAACTGGAGCACACCAGTACTGCTGGTGAGAATATAAAATTTTGTAACCACTTTGGAGAACTGTTTGACAGTTTTTTAAAAAGTTTAACAGATACTTCTGTGATCCAGCCATTCCACTCCTAGGCATTTTTCCAAGAGAAAAGAAAGCATATGTTCATACAAAAACTTGTACACAAATGTTTATAACAACTTTGTCATAGCCAAAATCTGGAAACAGCCCAAATGTCTATCCATGAATGAATGAGCAAATTATGGTATACCCATACAGTGGAATACTAATCAGCAATAAAAAGTGATAAACTGTTGATACAACAACATGATGAATCTCAGAGATAATTATGCTGAGTAAAAGAAGCCTGACCAAAAAGAGAGTACATTGTGTATGATTTAATTGATAAGAAATTCTAGAAAATGTAAATTAATTTATCGTGAGAGGAAAGCAGGTCTGTGGTTGCCTGGGATAAGACCGAGAACATGGGGAGGAGTGGGAGGAGGAGATTGCAAATCAGCATGAGAACCCTTTTGGAGCTGACAGACACGTTCTTTATCTTGATTATAGTCATGATTTTACTGGTAGATGTATATGTCAAAACTTATGGTAGACTTTAAATATTTACAGTGTATTGTATGTCAGTTATACCTCAATAAAGCCATTTAAAAAAAACAATGGAGTCTTCAAGGATGCTTAGACTGAAGTAGTGTCTTTTGCATTTGGCAGTGAAGGAGTATTTTGTGACTTGGGTGAGGGTAATTCCTCATGAGTGGAATTTTTTTCCTCTCATTTGAAGGTAGTTAATTGCTGAGGCCTGTGCTCATCCAATTGGCATTATCAGTTACTATTTATTGAACACTCACAGCTTCGTATTTTTATTGTACCAGGATTATATAAATATGGAAATTGTACTAAATTTTTTTTTTAATTTTCCCTTTTTTTGTTGTTGCTCTGTCTCCCCCAGAGTTGTGTGGCTATTTGGAGGAAGAAGAGGAAAGTACCACCGTTCAAAAATTTATAGACCATCTGCTCCATAAAAAAGTGGTGGATTCTGGAATGTTGGAAGATCTTGGAATGAATGGAAACCAAGACAAGCAGCAGCAGAAGGATCCTCGTCTTACCATGGAGATGAGACATAAGCAGGTGGGAGGGAAAAACAAAATTAAAATGGGTAACAGGAAGCAAACTTTGTGTAGCACATTTAATAAGCTTAAATAAAGACTTAGGCTTTATTATGAAAAAGAGTGCCATCTGTGGTTTGGTTAGAAAGAATAAAAATAAAATAGAACTTCAGAAGAAAAATAATGCTCATAAACTGAGGACAGGAAACAATTTATTTAAGAAAACCAAAAAAAAGAATAACTGATTTTGAACAATGGAGTGGTGAACTAAACTTTATTAGTTTGTATATGATATTATCTATTATAAATATGTAGATTGGTTTTGCTTGAATTTGATTTTTGAACTGTGGCATGAAAATATTAATATCATGAATATTCTAGTGAATGTTATAATGATAATTCTTTTCCAGACAACTGAAAAATTCACTCATTTTGTGATTATAATTTGAAAGGGAGGACAGATCTGAATTAAATCTAGTTCAGCTGTTTTGAATTAGAAGGGCTTATGGGAATTTTCTTCAAAGGGAATAAATAGTGGGTTATAGGAAAAAGATGTGTCTCAACTCTTTGTAGGGGATCTTCAGGAAATCAGAATGACCAAGTCTTTTCCACATGTCCAGAACTAAGACTGAACTAGAATGAATGTTTATACATTGTATCTTGTTTTTTTATAACCCTGAATTTCTGATTGCTTTAAACTATTAAGATGTGCCTAATCAGCACTGAGGATGTTAGAAAAAGGGTTAGAAGTATGGTTCTAGTTCGGGTTTATGATAAAAGGGAGGAGAGAAGGTTCAACAAGAGATTGCCAATATCTACAAGTCTTAACAAAGTGGAGAGTAAAGTAAGGGTAAAGGTCAGTGAAGAGGGAGGTAAAGGAGCACTCCTTAATTCATAGCTAGAAAGGGCTCTGGAAAATTAATAGTTTTGAAAAATTGTGCTTATTCAGAAATATCTGTGAAAGTCATGGTTTTGATTTCCAAATATGAGCCAGAATCATTAATACATTTAAATAACAATAGTGAATAGTGTTGTGTTCCTCATAGCAGTAAATCACTGTTGTATCTTTTTTTTTTTTAAAGATTTTATTTATTTATTTGACAGCGAGAGATCACAAGTAGTCAGAGAGGCAGGCAGAGAGAAGAGAGGAAGAAGCAGGCTCCCCGCTGAGCAGAGAGCCTGATGCGGGACTCGATCCCAAGACCCTGAGCTCATGACCTGAGCCGAAGGCAGAGGCTTAACCCACTGAGCCACCCAGGCGCCCATCACTGCTGTATCTTTCACGATGTAGTCTCCCCAAAATACCTGTATTCTTTCTTAAATTATAATCAGCATGCCCACAGGGCCTCCATAAACAGCAGTAGTATACACCTTAGAAAATTTTAGGGGTGGGATATCATTACTAAGTAAGAATCCAGAGCTTGGCATCTGACCCGTGGATTTTCAACGTTTCCATGGTGCAAATCATTGTCAGAGTTCTGGGAGTCTCTCACCTGACTTCATCTAGACTCTTGTATTGGCTCTTACCCAGGTAAAAAATGAGTTTTTCGTATTCTTCCAATAAACAGTGGGCTCCTGGACCAGAATGTTTCAAACTGGGCATATCATGAACTTGAAAATGTATTCTAAGCTTTTGTTTTATCCTTTTCTGTTTGAAAGGCTGCGTTTCACCCTCACTGTATTCTCTTTGAGGTAAAAGAAAATCGCATGAGACGTGAGAAAGAACTGGAGCGCCAGAGAATGGAGAAGACCCTGAAAAAATCGGTCTTCTTAGAGGCTCAGTATTTGGTGCAGGAAGAGAAGAAAAAGAAGGCTCTGGAGGCCAAGAAAGAGGAGGAGGAGATTCAAAGGGAGATGGTAAAGCTGCGGAGGGAGATAATTGAGAGGAGACGCACTGTGGAAGAAGCATGGAAAATGTAAGCCAACCGTGGTGAGCAGTGTGGAGGGTTTTTTTGTCTAAGCAGTCGTTTTGGAAGTTAAAAATATGGACATTGTGGTAACAAAATACAAAGAAGAAATCACCCACAATTCCACAATCTTAACAAATTAACTGTTTACATTTTTCTATTTCTTGTGGGTCTTGATCCCTTTACATATTTAATTGCAACCATAAAGTACATTTATTTTGCTTGTTTTAATTAACACATTGCTCAGAGTCCTGAGGTCTCAGTTCCACTGAGTTCCTAGACTGTAATTTATGTAATGACCCCCCCCTCTGATAAGCATTTCAACTATTTCAGGTTTTTCACCATATAATAATGCAGTGAGCTTCCTTAAGCTTAGAGTTTTTTACACCCTTAGGCGTGTAATTACCGAGTTAAATGGTATAGGCCCTTGAAGACTCTTGAAACATCGCCAGATTGCTTTCCCAATGGGTTGTACTGATTTACACTATTGCTGGCAGTGGGCCGGTTTACCGCACTCTTCTTAGAACCGGGGAATACTATCATTATTTTTGCACTTTTAATAGGTATTATATTGGTTAGTTTGCATTTCTTTGGTTACCTGAACAGTGTTAAAGTTGTCTGCTGATTGTGCAGACACCTTTGTGAAGGTTGTGAGTGTCTTATCTTCTGATAATCATACGGAGTCATCATTGCCTCCCAACCACTGAAAAAGCACAAGAATATCTGACATAAGAGGAAGATCAAAATAGTCCTCACGGGCTGTAGTACTGTTACGTATCCGCGTGCAGAAAATGAGCTTCTACGTGAAATAACTAGTGTATTTATTCTGAGAAACAGCACTGATGCGTGAGCTGCAAAACGCCTTGGAGCAGCGTGCCTGAAGGCACTGAATACTCACACTCAGAGGCCAGAAAGACCTATTCGATCATTCCTCCCGCCCCCGTCGGCCCACACAGCTTTTCCCCTGTGGTCCTGACTGTACTGATTCTATCCAATTTAAAACAGCTCGGCGGTGGACAGAGTGCTTCGCTCTTTCAAGTGCCAGGCTCAGGCCTCCTCCAGACGCCATTCCTTTCAGAAAGCAATCACTGGTGTTTAGTGAATTCGTGCTAAGGTCGACCTTACTTTTCAGATTGCTTTTAAGCCCTGAAAAATCTAGGCTGACCTAAAATACATCGTGAAAACAAGTAACATTTGATGGTAGCGGGACGCTCTGCTCATGGCGGGCACTCGACAGATGCTCACTGACCACTGGTTTCTTTTAAAAGTTAAAATCTTATCCGTGCTTACAGTGATTCAGATAACATGCTGTAGTGCTAGCAGAGGAGCTGATTTAAACGCTCCAGAAGGCAACTTGGCAATAAACAACAGGAGCCATAAAGTTGGTGTTACTGCTTGACCTGGAAATTCCTCTTGGGAAAATACCCCCAAGAAAATGATCAGAAATCCAGACGAAGATTTGTGCACAAAGATAATATAATATTATTCATAATGGACATTAATAAATACTGGAGAAATTAATGAAAATGGTTACACAATGAGACAGTATGGACAGATTGTCTGTTTTTTTTTTTTTTCTGGATCTATGGATGGCTTTTATATCTCCAGTTTTTCACAATGGGTACCTATTCCTTTCATAACAGATACACATTTTAATGTTATTTTAGAAAATCAGATCCATGGTATTAGAACTGTATTTCTTTAAATGGCCACTGGGATCTGCCTATAACTGTCTAATATAACATTGTTATGGCATTTGGATGGAGTCAATAAAATTTTATTATCGATAGAGCTTTTTAATTTATCTGTAAGCTACCCTAAATCTGCTTCATTGCATAGTTTCAAAATATCTCCTCTAAGAGGTTTATTAATTATTAATTTATTAATTAAGGGGAAAATGGCAACTTTATACTGGAGAGGTCCCCTTAACCAAGTGATGGTTAACATCACCAATAATAAGATACAACATTGTGTGCTCCATATCGATGAGAATATAGAGTATTCTGGCGTCCCTCTCAACTTGAGTGTCTGTAAGTTGAAGGTGGAATTCAGAAAGACAGACTTGTGTGAGTTTTCACAGCTGGTTTGTGGCCAGAGCCCATGAATCCCAATTTCTGACTAGGTGCTGTTTTTACTGTATTGTTGGTAGTATATAGACCTTCCACACATACATGTACATATACTTTAGTACACTCCAAAAAAAAAGGCAGTGACTGACCCGTGAGCTTGCTTGAATTGGCATGTGGAAGAGGGATGACCTGGCTGAGAAAGGATATGTGGGTGAGCCAGAGGATGACCAGAGAGATGAGCAACAAAGTTACAGAGCAATTCCTGTCACTTGCCTGAAGGCTTTTTCGTTGTTATTAATTTCTGTTTTTTCTCTTTTCAGCTATGTTAGAATGAACACAAATTCCACTCTCTCCTTACATAAGAATACCTGATTCTTTTATTGTTTTTCTCCTTAGAAACTTTGTAAAAAGGCTTGGGGTAAAAATCTCATCCCTTTTTCTTTACCTGAGAGTCCTTTTTTTGTCCCTCCCTTGGAAAAAAAGAGAGAACTTATGTCTACATGTTGTTAACTCTCAAATTTTGATCAAAGTATCCCTCAATGATATACTCAGTAAAAATACTTTACTAAAATATTTATAGGGCCTTCTACTTTTCAGAGTATAACAGATTCTTATTTCATTTAATCTACATTTTATAAAGGAATAAACTAAGGCTAAAAAAAAATCTCCCTACAATGTAGTTTTAGAACCAGATCTAAAAATCTGTCTTCTGATGGAAAATTCAGTGTTCATTCCACTATAGTAGGTAGTAATTACCCATCATTAAGTCTGTTGTTCATACATGTATTTTTTAAATTGTTAACAGAGAGAGGAAAAAGCAGGAAGAAAATTCTCCAAAAAATGCCAAAAAAGGCATGTTTCAAAATGATTATGTTCTTCTGGATGAAGAAAAAATGTCAAAAGAAAGAAAGAAGAAACTGAGAGAGTTATTAATCCAGACTTTTAAGGAAAATCATCAGGTGAGAATTATAACATCTCTTTTTTCAGCATTCTGTGACATAAATGACAGAGGGCTCCATCAGAGATGGGCCAATGTCTCACCAAAGCCCAGCGGAGCCTCGTCGCAAATACCAAATTGCCCACACTGTTGGTTCTGTGCTGCCCAGCGCTCCATTCCCCTGTCTGGGGGCTATTCTTATAGATACTCTGCGTGATCTTGGGAAATCAGGTGTGATTTAGGGTGGCTTCCTAAATTATTCTTTTCAATAGCATGTAACTACAAATGTAGATCTCTGGTAGGTTTTGAAAGCTTGGCTTCCACAGTCTTCTGGATTATTCAGAATTATTCAGAAAAGTCACTTGCCTTCTGGTAGCTAGGATCTAAAAGCAAGGATACACTTCTCCTTTTTATGGTCTGCATTTTTATTACTCTTTTCTCCTTTTACTTTCACTTTTTATTAAAAAAAAAAAAAAGGTTAATTTTTATTGATAGGTGGGCTTCCTTTCCAGGCCATCTAAGCAGAAGTTTCTCTTAGTCAAGTGGGATTGACAGCAGTACGCATTTGGGACTTACAACATTTCAGGTGAAAGGGATTAGTTGGAATGTTTGTAAAATGAGAAGGTTGGATGAGAAAAGATAAATATGGATATTTTATATTTCTTGTAACACACACCCAGAGCCTTAGGCTTTGCTGAAATTCAGTGAAAGTTCGTGAAGTGAATGCAGGAATGCACTGATTTAACAAGAAAAAAGACAATGTCAAGATGATACTGAGGGAGCTTGATAAATCTAGGACAGACTTACAGAAGTCCTGGAAATCAGTAACAGGAATTTGAATATAATATTGATAACTGGGATATGAGCAAAAGCATAATCTAAACGATTTAAAGAGAGAGAGACATGAGGTGCCTAGGTGGCTCAGTCAGTTAAGCATCTGCCTTTGGCTCGGGTCATGATCTCAGGGTGCTGGAATGGAGTCCCACGTCAGGCTCCCTGCTCAGCGGGGAGTCTGCTTCTTCCTCTTCCTTGTGCTCACTCTCTCTCTCTCTCAAATCTTAAAAAAAAAGAGAGAGAGAGACTGTTTGATGGAGGCATTTTGGACTGATGAGCAAGACGTAATTATTGAGATATAGAACAACAAGAGCTTTGGTCAGAATTTTGGCTTTAGGATTAGCGAGGGGGAAGAGTAGCAGGAGGAAATGTTAAGAGTTGGGATTAACATTTTGAGAAAGATTGGCAAGGAACTCAGATGTTGTATCCTTCACGAGACAGAATTGATGTGTTCTACAATAACAGTTCAGATTTCTGAAGGAAAATAGGAAAGGAGATAGTACTCAGGGGGCCATCTAGAGAAGAAGTGAGGAAACGTGCCATGATACGTTATCCAACCAATGAGAGATGAATAAGACATGTGTTTTCTTGAAACTTAATTTTTAAATTTCAGTGAAGTTCACTGTACAGGAAGAAATAATACATGTTTTAGATAGAAGTGGCTAGCTATGAATTTTGGACACTTGTAAAGAGTTTTACAAAATTAGTGGTCTACCTAAAACAGATTACTCAGTTTTAAAAAGACCAACCAGTGTAACTTAAAAATGTGATTATGAATAAATTATCTCCACTCCTCACAGATTCTGCTTGATCTAAGCCTACACTATATTGTTGTTAAGTTCTTACTTTGAAATAATTTTAGACATACAGAAAAATTGCAAAAACAAGACACAGAATACCTGAATTCCCTTCACGCAGCTTTCCCCAATGCTAACATCTTATACAAGTGTAGCATAATTATCAAAACTAGGAAATTAACCTTGGGACGATAACATTAAATACCATCAGCTAAACTATAGACCTTATTAGAATGTCACCAGTTTTTCCACTCTATCCTTTTTCTATTCCAGGACTCAGCCCACAATTCTGCATTAGAGAATGCCTAGGAGTATATAGCTAGGACTCAGTCCATAATTCTGTTTCATATAGCTGTCATGTCTCCTTTGCCTCTTCCAGCTTTATGATAGCTCCTCAGTCTTTCCTTGTCTTTTGTGACCTTGACATTTTTTAAAGGTGCTGATCAGGTATTTTGTAGAATGTCTCTCAATTTGGGTTTTCTGATATTTTCTCGTGCTTAGATTGAGATTATGCATTTTGGGCAAGATTCCTACAAGAAGTGATGCTGTGGCTTCTCAGGATCATATCAGGGGTACACAATGTTTGTATGCTAGGTTTCTGTAGTGTAAAGTGTCTTTAATTTTTATTTTTTATTGTTTTTTTTTTTAATTTTTTGAGAGAGATCGAGCATGAGCAAGCATGAGTGGGGCAAGGGAGAGAGGGAGACAGAGAATCTCAAGCAGGCTCCATGCCCAGTTCAGAGCCTGATCTCACAACCCTGAAATCATGACCATCGGTAAAACCAAGAGTCAGAGGCTTAACCAACTGAGCCACCCAGGTGCTCCTGTACTGTAAAGTTACCATATCTCCTTTGGAATGTCATAGGGGAGATATTGTAAAACTATGCAAATACCCTGTTTCTCCTTAAACTTTGACTTGTTAATTTTAGCATCCGTTGTTAGATCTTGCCTGTAACATTAATGTATTTGTCTAATGATGATATTGTATTTCCCTCATTTCTTCTCCATTTATTAATTGAAATGTTTCTAGAAAGAAAACCTGTCCTTTCTCCCCATTTATTTTTTCATTTATTCAGTTATATCTTTTATCAGTATGGGCTCATGGATACTTATTTTATTCTGTGGGTGATCTATTACTATCATTGTTTACTCTGTTACTCAAATTGTTTCGCCTTTGGCCATTGGGACATCTTTCAGGTTGACTTCTTTTTCCTTCAAAATTCTTCTGTCCTTTTTTGAGCACTTTCTTTTTGGTACCATAGGACATTCCGGGCCCATCTTATAGTTTCCCCGTTCTAGCTGTGGAATCAACCACTAGTACATGAAACTCTAGTTTCTTTATTGGAGAATATTATTTAGAAACCCAAATATGAACAGTGCTATGACTTACATATTCATGTATGAATTACTGCTACTGGGGTGTCACTACTCAGCAGACAGAGCTGGGAAATGTGTATACTAACCCAGACATATGTAGACATTATATGTATTTCTATGTTTGTCTGTCTATATACATATTAAAATCTGTGAGTCATACTGGTGTCTTGAATTCCAGTGCAGTAACACAGGGGTCATCGTAACCTTCCCTCTTCCTTATTTATAACTTCTTTCTATAACTATCTGTATGTTTATTAAAATAATCATGAGTTCATAATGATGCCTTCAGCCCTAATCCAGCACCACACGTTTCAGTGTACCCGTTCCCCCTTGCTTACTTATAATTCCTTTCTCTGGCAGTGAGAAACCTGGTGCCCATTATCCAAAATATATTTACTTATTTAATCCTGATGCACTATAAGAGTAGTTTCAGAATTGCTGACCTGTACTGCTATGTAAACAAATTCACTAACCAGAGTACAATATTTGTACATTATTTTCATTTTCAGTCATATTCAGCCAGAATATTATTACTTAAGTTAGTTCTGTTCTTCCCCTTCCGCTTCAGTGTGAATCTGTTATTCATTTGCAATATGGCTAGTGAACCTGTAATTTTTATTTCCCCCGTGTATGTGAGTGTAACTGAGACATGGGGAAAATCCACCTGCCAGACTCCTCAGGCTTTTACGTAGACTTGGCTGGAGACAGGACAGTCCTCTGGTAAATGTCACAGAGTAGCAGGCCCCTTGGGCTCATTACCTTGGCCCCAGTCCACATCTCCTTGCCCGGTTCTAAAGGAGTCTAAAGCTGCCCTTGGGTAATGAAACTTGGACACTCAGCAGCCTAAATACAACCACAGGATAAAAAAGGGGAAAATGCCTAGCTGGCTTGCAGTGAGCGGCTAGATAACAGGAAACTCTTGTCAGCGCCCTCAAAATGGTTCACTGGCACAAACCCAACAGCAAGCTATATAGAGTATTTGTAGGAAGACTTTAAAGAATCTGTTTCTAGGAGGAGTTCCAGTTCAAGCTCCTTTAATTCTTGTAATTCCCTGTGCTTTAACTGTGGATTGTATTTGTTCCCGCAAACAATCTCTTAGCATCATGTGTGGGCCCAGTCATTCAATAGGAGACTTGTGAGAGAAACAGAGCTGGCCCTCTCATCCAACCAGAAGTTCAGGTGCAGCGGTGTCCATGCGTCTTCCCCACATATTTCATTGCCTGGTCTCTTTGTTTTATCAAAAACATCTCTTTTTGTATAGAAACTTTCTACTTCCATTTTCCATCCTATTTTCTCTTTGATCTTGTAGTGAAATCTCTCGGGGAGATGCAGCAATCCTCATGTCATTGCTAATTAGCAGAAACAACAAGGGATTAACTATGAAACTCTTATACTATTTGGGAAATGGCCCTCTTAATTCTCACCCTGTTCCGAAATACATTTTATGTTTTCTTAGGAAGATGAGAAAGCCTGTGATCTCTTGCTGCTTGTGAAAGTTGAAGAGAACAATAAAAGATGGGTTGATATTAACTTAAATCTTAATTCTGTAGGGGAAGGTTTTTGCTTATGGTTGGGTTTTTCTGTTAGTAAGATTAATAGTGACCCAAAGGAATCATTGCTTAAGGCATAGCACCTTCTAAACCACCACGCCCCCCCCCCCAACTAAACCAGGGGAACATGAAGATACATGGAAAAGAAGCCTGGATTTTTCTGACAAGTTGATGAAAACTGTAGTTAAGCACCTCGATTTATATAACACGATTCATCCCCAAAGATCTTCGTTCTGTCGGGGCTCCCTACATGCCACTGAAGTAAAGCCATTTCTGAGTGGAAACACAGCAACCATCCTCTCTCTGTCTAAGGAAGGAAATGAGGGAAAAGCCTCTTTGCAAATAAAACTGCAGAGAAAGAAATGTCGGGCACACGTGAAGGACAATGGGATTCTTATAACTCTCCCCTCTAAGCTTACTGCCAAAGAGTGAGTGTGGTATGCATTTTAGGAGAGTTTGAAACA